ACCATGTCCCTGGATTCCTTTAAGACCAGGATCCAGGGATATAAAGCACCTTAAAGGAAGCAGGACATGTTTTTATCAGTTTTTAAATTGTAAAAAGATGCATGGACTCCCCCTCCCGCACACGTTTTTAATCAAAGTGAGAAAATGTCACAGCAGCAGCCCTTCACTCCAAAGAAAGAAGAAAAACAAAAAAACTTGGACTTTCGCCAGGTGGACACATGTTCAGCAAGAAATTCTCACAACAAATGAATGATGGATGTCTGTGGAAAAGAGATTTTCTCAGAATATATCATGTCAGAAGCAGGAATAATATATTTATCTGATCAGAGAAAATGTTTTGTAGAAATATGGAAGTCAATGCATGCTATCAAAATCACTGCTGCTTGTTGCATGATTCCATTCTTGATTTTTTTCGCAAAGTTTCAGTCAAAAGTAGTTTTATTTATAATCATATAATGTTTAATTATTTGACTTCCCTTATTAGCTCACCTGAGCTGAAAGCTCAAGTGAGCTTTTCTGATCACATTTTGTCTGTAGTCCATCTGTCTGTCTGTCTGTCTAGCTTTCCGTCTGTCCGTCCGTCTGTAAACTTTTCACATTTTCACCTTCTTCTCCAGAACCACTGGGCCAATTTCAACCAAACTTGCCACAAAGCATCCTTGGGTAAAGGGGGTTCAAGTTTGTTCAAATGAAGGGCCACGCCCTCTTCCAAGGGGAGATAATTAAGAATTGGTGAAAATTTGGTGTCATCGTTTAAAAATCTTCTTCTCAAGAACCATTGAGCCAGAAAAGTTTATACTTATGTGAAACCTTCATTACATAGTGTAGATTCAAATTTGTTGAAATTGTGACCCCCGGGGCTGGGGTGGGGCCACAATGGGGGATCAAAGTTTTACATAGGAATATATAAGGAAAATCTTTAAAAATCTCCTTCTCAAGAACAACAAAGCCACAATTAGACATATTGATATGGAATCATGTTCAAGTAGTGTAGATTCAAATTTGTTCAAATCATGACCCCCAGGGGTAGGGTGGGGCTACAATGGGGGATCAAATTTTTACATAGGAATATATAGGAAAATTCTTTAAAAATCTTTTCAAGAACAACAAAGCCACGATTAGTCATATTGATATGGAATCATCCCTAAATATTGTAGATTCAAGCTTGTTCAAGGCATCCTCCAGTAGTAGGGTGGGGCCATAATGGGGGATCAAAGTTTTACAAAAGAACATATACAGGAAATATCTTTAAAAATCTTCTTCAATCTCAAGAACAACAAAGCCATGATCAGTCATATTGATATGGAAGCATCCTCAGGTAGTGTACATTCAAGTTTGTTCAAATCATGACCTCCCCCCCCCCCCCCCCCCCCCAGGGAAGGGTTTTAGACATATTTAAAATTCTGTTTTAAAGAACAGCAAAATCATGATTAGTTATGTTAAGATAGAAGCATCCTCAGAAGGTTTATATTCAATTTCATTCTAAACATGGCACCTTGGGGTATGGTATGCCTAGAACAGGCGATCAAAGCTTCATATATGAATATATAGGAGAAATATAGGAGAAGAAATCTGCTGATGAAGAACAGCAGGGCCATATTGACTCAGGTGAGCGTTGTGGCTTATGGGCCTCTTGTTTTAAAATGTATTGGAAGTTTGTGGAAAAAAATCCCAAGTACCTGGTACAGTGCATCCTTTGTAGAATGTGATTACTTTACAAAATCTTTGGTTCAAATTTGAAATCTTACTCCTATAGTGAATTTTTCAAGCATTATCTTTCATCAAAACAAGTTATTGACACTGATAAATAAATGTGTATTACAAATTCTCAAAAAGAAATTTCATCCTTGAATAAGTATTTTGCATCTAAATGTGAAATTAAGTTTTATAGCTACATGAATATCATTGTAACAAAGTTCAAAGGATGTGATGTCAAAGAGCATTTGATTGTCACTCATGATGGCTTTTTTGTTATCTTAAAACTCCAACAAAAATTATGCAATATATGATCACATTGAGGAGTTATATTTATTTGTGCTGATCAAACTATATACTTATACTCATAAATTATGTGTAGGTATTTATTGATTTCAAAACTTGTTCGACAAATGTGAAATATCCAATAATATAATACCAGGGATCTATATATGTAGATAACTACATATACATGTATTGGCATGTATTAGTCCCTCTGATTTTGAATTTTTTATATACTGTATTAAGTATTGAATGTCTAGATTCATATGACATGTTCACTGTACATGTATATTGATTTCATGTTTATCTCATAAATAATGTATTGAAATCTTTTCTACTCTATGAAAATTTTAAGTATGATTTTTCTCATAATTTTTTTGGAAGGTTTATTTATTATTCCTGTTATATTGAAGGTTAAGTTGCTTTGAATTTGTCCTGTGCATGTGAAGAATGTATGTGACAATTTTTTGTAATTGCCACCAGAAAGTTGATGTATTTTATAAAATTGTCACACATAACTTGTTCATCAGAATAAAATGACAGAGGAAATTCGAAATGAATATTTTAAATATCATTGGTGTAAAATACCATAAAAATGAAATGTATAGCTGGTAGAAATGAATGTATATATGTCAATATTACAACAAATTGCTATATTTTTGGGGATTAAAAATCTTACTTATAGATTTTAAAAACCCTCTGTAAATTGAAGATTTCTGGAAGTGTAGAGTTAATTCGGGCTAATTTTGTTCTATAATTTGCCTGATTACCATATCTTTTTTACCTTGTAAATTAATCTTGAACCTTTGAATATTCCTCAGACAAAAAACTAAATATTTGACATTATATGGTCAGTTGTAAAAATTGAGATGAAATTTCATGTGAATTCATGAAAACAGAGAATTTTGAAAAAAATATCGAGGAAATTCGGACTAAATGTATTTGTTGAATATAAAGGATTTCATGTTTTCTTTTCACCAGCTCATTTCATATTAATTAGAGATCAAAAATAATGAACAACTTTAATTTTATGGTGAAAATATTTTTTTCAGTTATCAAAATTTATTCATGTGCACAAATTTCAAAACTTCCCTGTGTAAATGTACTATTTTTAGGACCTATTTTCAAATGACCTTGACCGAAAATCGAGGCTGATGACACCAAAGTTTTTGGATGTTAAAATAGTGTGAACAATCTGAATATTGGGTTTTCAGAAAATCAAGATTCTACCATTATAAGAAATATGAGAAGAATCCATCCTTAAAAAAAATCCCACAAAAAATGAAAATATTAAAAAAATAAACAGGTGTGCTACACACGCCTCACTTATACGTCCGTTATCGTCTAAAATTGATCTCCATTCGGCAAACTGGCGCGTCGACTGCAAAGAAAAACTTTTGTTCTGTGGGTTTTGGAAAAAATATAGCTTGTTTTAAAAGCTGTATGGCTATAGAAGAAAACAAAATAGCTCCACAAAAGATGTCGTTTTAACATAATATATTTTTAATGTCCTACAATATGTATAGAGAGACAGAGAGCATTCCGATTTATTTATGAAAATGAAGGTTATGAAAATATTAAAACTTCAAAAGACAGATTCTTTAAATTAATTAAGAGATGAATTTAATTTTTGAGAATTCATGAGGACATGAATTACGACGTATCACACCGACATATTTCATGAAGCGCGTTAGAGCTTCATGATAAATATGCAGGCGTGAAGCGTTGTAGTTAATGTACCTCATGAATTCTCACAAATTAAATTCATACCTTATATAATTATATAAATTTACATTATTTTCCTGATGACTTGCCACAAATTTTTGCCATTCAACGATCATTTTTTTAAAAAAAGTTTGCATTATTTTTTTTTATTTCAATCACATAACAAAGGAAATGTTCTTACTCATCCCACAGTAGTTCATGAGAAACTGAACTTTTTCTAATTTGCAAAGAATGTTAAGGAAAAACATTTAGAAATGTAAATATTGCGTTAACGATTGCGTATTGTGCCATCTGGTGAGAGATTGAGAATAGTGAAGCAGATTCGGAAAGAACGGAATAGATATCTCGTTGACAGAAGAGTCGGAATGGTGGAAAGGATGATTGCACTTAAGGACATGCGAAATTTGCGACAAAATAAACTTTCAAAACAAGCACATTTTTCTTTTCATTGCAAGAATGGTCAACATCCAATCTACAACTTTATGTAATTACGTTTAATAAAAGTGTGTATTTACGAAGTCCGAATCTGTTTTCAAAGGCAGGGGTCATTACAATTTCTTGAATCTCCGTTCGATAATGAGGACGCCCACTTTTTTTACTGACTTTATACATAGTCATCAGCGCATGTTTGTCTATTGTTCTACTTTTAACAGTAGTTGTATATTTGCATAAATAATAATGTGTCAAAAGGAGATTAATAGGCAAACATGCGCTCAAGGTTAAAAAGAGAAAAAAACTGCTTCTTTTACAATGTCTCTCTGTGTTGTAACCAAGGATTGTGACATGTTGAATATTATAATTCACCACGTGATTTCTTACCTCGGGTAACTTTGTGAATACTAAATTCCGTCACGTGGCTTAATTCATTTTATGATTTAAATTTGGTTCCAAATAGACAGGATTCTTTCATAAACCAACAAAAGTGAAATAAAGTTTAGATATAAAAGCAACAGAAGCAACCGAAAAAGACCCCAAAACAGTGCAGTCATCCTTTGCGATCTTTTAGCTTTAAGTTTTTTACTCTTTTAATGAGCTAACACTTTAAAATAAGAAATCACATGATATTGATATCTAAGCAATATCGATTACTGAAAAAAAAGTTGCATACCATTTTTTTTTATTTTCAGAAGACAGAGACATCTCCTTATATAACATTTTGTCGAAGAAGGTTTGACTTTCTTAGTTTGGCCTGTTTATATAACACTGATAACGAATTCTAAAATAACGTGAGCTCACATGTGAGAAATAGACTGTATATAAATCGGTATCAAATACTTATTCCAATAAACGGAACAAAAATGAAGGCAATGTTTCTAGTGCAGGTAAGTATCTTTTTAATAAAGATAATAATTACAAAAATTGGTTAAAAGAAGTTCAAACTGGTTGCCAGTTTGAATGCATCTTTATGCACAGAATAAAGCAAAGTCAAAGGTGATAAGATAGTTATAATAAAACGATTCATATCCATAAGTGAGATGAAAAATTATTCCGTGTTTTGTTTTAAAAAATGTTTTCACCATTTAAAAAAACCTTTAGTATTAGTAAAATTAATCTAGTCATTATTTTGATGTAAATATACGCAATCTGCTTGTTTGTTCTCTCAAAGGTAGTGTCCTGATAGAACATGACAAGATGAATACACGTACATTAAATATTAAATTTTGTTAATTTAAAATCCTTCAAAGCAAAGTCCCTAAAAACTGAAATAATAGAAATTTATCGCATGTATTTTATTTCTCTTGAAGCGATAAATTAAACTGTTTACTTTTTAAAGGTTTTCTTTCTGGGGCTTTGCAATGCATTTATACTGGGTGCCAATTCCTGCAAGTCCCCACCAGTGGCCACTGGATTCCAGAATGAGAGATATAACGGTCTGTGGTATGAGGTATCTAAGGCACAGACCGCTGGCGGGGGGTTCTTTGAGAAAGACTGCGTATGCACGACAATAGACGTACAACCTGTTCCCTCCTCTACAGCCGGGGACTCCAAAGCCATCAACAGCTGTAGAAAACTGGCACCGAGTGGGGATTTTATGAACGCTACAGGTTTGTATCTCTCCCATCTCATAACAGCAAAACAGGGGGTGCTGCATTTCCCCTTTTTAAAGTATCTCATCTTTAGTTTCTGCTACACCTACAGTGTATTTAGCTTTAAATAGATAAAATGTGCTCATTTCCGACCTCTCTGTGTATACAATTGCGCATTTCTTACACGAATATCTTTTTCAACTCCATTGCTGAATAACTGAAGATTGGTCTCGAAAAAGTGGTTGATCCTTTCAGAAGAGGAGTTGTATTTGCAATCATTTCCAAAGTATTAAGCAATAAAACAATTTCAATTTGACTAGCAAACCAAAGTTGCTGTTGACAACGACATTTCCACTGACTACATGTAACTAGTAGAACGAACGAACTATTTTCATACCTATAAGAGAATCGGAGCCTTTGACATCGCACTTAAAGCATATTGTTAGAAAGTTTATTTTAGAGATGTTAAAATACATATGATGTTCAGATTGCTTCATTCTGTGAAAAAATTAAAGTCTATTTTACTAAGTTATTTATTTAATTTTAATCTGACTGTTGTTACAGGAACACTGTCAAACGAGGGACCACTGGGTCACTGGAAAGAAGGGTTCTTCCCCGGAGCACCTAAAGTAAGTTTGACTTGTGTTGGGCTTTTAAATCATATTGCAAGGACGGAAATTTCAAAATATTTGGTTTAAAATTAACGTACACCATATATGAATAAAATCTGTTCATAACATGAAACTTTCTCACATAACCCGTCTTGTTTATTCCACTGAATATATTTCTAGATTTATTAATGACATTTAAAACTAAAACACTACTAGGGAATTTTAAAAAAAGTTCACATGCACTGTTTTCTTGATTTCAGGCAGATTACACTATTATATACCTAACAGATAACGTAGCTGTAGAGTATGACTGCAGCTCCTTTTTGGGCCTCATTACAAACTACTGCATCCACATCCTGTCACGAACCCCTACCATCACCCCCGACGGGGAGAACGCCGCCATTAAATACGCAGAGAGTTTAGGATTAAACACTCAAAATTTACCTTACCATAAAACTTTACAATCAGGGTGCTGGTGATTTCAAAATCTGGAAACACCACTTATACGTTTACAATTACCAAACGTTTGGTTATTTTAGCGAATTGTAAATCCAGCATACCCTTTTTTATACCTTACATTTGTAAGTAAGTTACAAAAAGCAAGATAGTTCGAAAAAGTGTCATCTTTGTTTTCCTCGACATCCTCACTATTGCAGCTCACATTTAATACAAAAAATTAATTACTGTTAATGAAGATATTGTTATGGTGACAATTTTTCGCTTGGTATTTTTTTTTATTGCAAAATGTAGACCTAAATTTTTTCTTTTATATATTGCCTATTTTTTTTTCTTGAAAGATCACTCTGCATGGATGTTAATTTGGTGGTTTTTTCTCTTTCAAATTAGCACTAGATGATCGCTAAAATTGCCAGGTGTTCGGCATAAAAATACTCATTTTCTATATTTCTGTATTTTATAATCTTTGAAATGATTAGAACTGAAGTTTAAGATGACTGTACATAAATAAATAGAAACGAAGTTTATAGACTTTAATATATGTAAAATATTATGTCGACATACATTCATTTTAATATTTAATAAAATCATCAATACATATCATTTATTTTGATATAGTTATATTTCTTGAAAAAAATCCATTCATCGAACAGAACAATGCCTGGAAAAGCGACTAGTGCAGTGTTATTGTAGATTATCCCCCTTGATGATAGAGTGCAACACCATTCAATTTACCAAAGGATGGGGGCCCGACAGGGGTTTCACCTGTTCCGTCCTTTAACAATCGTTCAACTCCACTAAAATTGTGAAAAAAAGTTGTTTTCATTATACATGTACATGATTGCAATGCATACTCAGTAGTGAGCTATTCCATTCAGTTTTCAGTTTAAAAATTCTTCAGATCGCTGTATATGTTTCTGGTAAACTTGGCAATGTTGCATTTTAATCTTGACTGTTAACAATATTTTATCATACTTACTCTTTGGTCCAGTCGGACACATAAATATACTGAGAGTCCACGTCGATTCCGAAGAAATGAGCCCCAGCATCCTGGAAAATGAGTTGTCGGTTCTGGCCATTCGTGTCCATCTTCTCTATCTTGTTTGTGCCAGCATCGCACAAAAATAACTTGTTGGCTGAAAAACACGGGCACATTCATTCTTTTTTCAAATCATGGATGAATGCAAGGATTTTGATAGGAAAATAAAACTCACTGGTTGCGTCATATACTAGTCCATTAGGATATTTCAGTCCGCTGTCGACCAAAGTTTGTCGATTAGATCCGTCGTAGTTAGCCTTTTCAATCTTTGGATGAGCTCCCCAATCCGTCCAGTAAACAACTCTATATAAGAAAAAAAACATGATGTGTTTGTGAAACACTGATGCCCCCGTATGGCAGCTTATGGCGAAGGTTAAGGTTTCTCAAATGCAAGTCTAAATCCAGGCCAAAAGATAAAAAATGTTAAATTTGAAAGCCCTAGCTGCAACTGTTCAAAAGTTATGGCGAAGGTTAAAGTTTTTTAAAAGTAAGTAAAACATCAAGGTCAAGATCAAAGTTGTTGGTATCCAAAGGAAGGTCTTGTCACAAGGATTACATATGTAAAGTTTGAAACCCCTAGCACCAACCATTCAAAAGTTATGGCCAAGGTTAAAGTTTTTCGAAAGTAGGTCAAACTCCTATGTCAAGGTCAAAGGGTCAAAGTGGTTGGTATCCAAAGGAAGGTCTTGTCACAAGGATTACATATGTGAAGTATGAAAGCCCTAGCACCAACCATTCAAAATTATGGCCAAGGTTAATGTTTATCGAAAGTAGGTCAAACTCCTGTGTCAAGGTCAAAGTGGTTGGTATCCAAAGGAAGGTGATGTCACAAGGATTACATATATGAAGTATGAAAGCCCTAGCATCAACCATTCAAAAGTTATGGCCAAAGTTAAAGTTTTTCAAAAGTAGGTCAAACTCCTAGGTCAAGGTCAAAAGGTCAAAGTGGTTGGTATTCAAAGAAAGGTCTTGTCACAAGGATTACATATGTGAAGTATGAAAGCCCTAGCTCTAACCGTTCAAAAGTTATGGCCAAGGTTAAAGTTTTTCGAAAGTAGGTCAAACTCCTAGGTCAAGGTCAAAAGGTCAAAGTTGTTGGTATCCAAAGGAAGGCCTTGTCACAAAAAATATACATGTAAAGTTTGAAACCCCATGCACCAACTGTTCAGAAGTTATGGCCAAGGTTAAAGTCTCATAAAATTTTGCAAAAGTGGGTCAAACTCCAAGGTCAAGGTCAAAATAATGATATCCAATTGCAAAGAAAGGTCTTGTCACAAGAAATACACATGTGAAATATGAAAGTCATAGCTCCAACCATTCAAAAGTTATGGACAAGGTTAAAGTTGACAACAGACAGACAAACAGATACAGACAAACAGGACAAAAATCTTTCGATCCCGGGGCATAAAAAGGATAGAAAAACATCTTGTGTGCTCCTCAACTTGACCTATTCAAATACAGCATTTAATTTACAGAAGACTAATTCTTGATGTCTAGCTTGCATGTTATAGCTTTTGATTTTGATTCAGAAATATTAAACTAGTTACTAATAATATAGTTCTGTCCTGTCCAATACGATAATTGCAATATATGAGATTATCTCCTTGGGGTCAAATCTTTTAACTGAAAAAGTTGCAAATAGTCCTCAAGATTCAAAATACTCTGATTAGAAAAGCAAATATGCCTTTAATTTTACGCAGATGAACTATCAAAACCAGTGCTACCCTTTCTTCCTGCACCTCATATTTTAAAATTTTCTCTTAAACGTATACTTTCTTTGCAACTAATTTACACTTTTTATCACTTTCACCTTGCATTATCAAATGAAACTGCTTCACAGCCATGAGGCATTCTAGAGTACAAAACAAAATTTGAATTAAATTGGATCACGCAAAGGTATGATCCGGGTGGGGTTTTTTTTCATGAAGCATTCCGGTTTCTGAAATTGTCTAAATTATCTTGGTTCAGGCTCAGACTCTTTGGACGTGTGTGATCTTTGTTTTGTGAACTGCGTTACAAAGTTATGAGCACAGATTATTTTCTTAGTTCTATATTTATCATACTCTATGAATTTATTCTTGCCATGGTCCAATATTCATCACAGAGCGTGTTATGCAAGCTTCAATTATACCTGTTATGGTCGTTTAAATGACAAGAATCTCAAATAACAGTTTTACTTTAAATTCATTCGTGGAGCACATGACTTAGTTGTCATAGGTGTTTGGTCAGTAACCCAAAGGTCACTGGTTCAAGCCCCGCTGATGTGGGCACTTGATGAGTCCTTAGAAAGGCACTTTATTTGCATTTTCTTAGTCCACCCAGCTGCAATGGGTACCGGTGTAAAGACGAAGAATGCTAAGGGGTCATTTTTCGATGATCTCCCGGTCATATTTCAACGGGGGTCATCATTCGTCTTTACACCGGCTTACGCTGCGGGGTTAACCTGCGATGGACTGGTGTCCCATCTAGAGGGAGTCAACGACTCTCATCACTACAGCAACATAGAAACCGGATTTAAACCGGAGCCTCATGGCTCGGAGAAAGATTTTATCTTAAAATTCATTCCCGCAAAGTTAAACATACAGATACTTTTCCTACATCAGCTTCAGCACCCTTTCATCTTAAAACTGAACACTAAAACATTAATATATATTTTGTATGGAACTATTTTTGCTGTAATTTCTACGCCTTTTGTATATGTGGTCCAGGAACTACATGTACTTTTGAGAGGAGAAACAGAAGGTGTAAGCATAGCGCGTCCTCAGGTGAGAGATTTCCTCTGGTCATGCAGTCCTACATGTAATGTGACATCTAATAAGTACTGAGTAATACAAAGCCAAAGTGTACACACAAAAAGCCCTCACTGATTGGCAACATCCAGGGTCACAGCTCGGGGTTCATCCAGATTTGTATTGGTAACATTAACCACATTTGAACCATCCAAGCCCATTTTCACTATGACGTCATTTCCGGTGTCGGTATAGAATAACAATCGGTTCTGTACATCTATAGTTAGACCATCTGGAACAGCAACTGCGAGGAAAAATACCGAAATTATATTTTTCAGTCAAGTTTTTTTTTATTTTACGCTAGCCATACACAATGGTTTGAATTTATAATAATAGTTGCGCTTGGAATTATACCGTTTCTTTTTTTGAGTTAACTTATGTAAACTTAAGAACTTAAGAGAGAATCTTACTTTAAATATTCTTCAATACCAGTAGTTCAAAATTGATATACTATTTTAAAATCGGACCGAAAATGTAAGAGGAGTTTTGTTATCGACGTACGGATACTTTACCATCGCCTATGCTCCTCTGGTCCACATAGAATAAAAATAAACAGACCTCTAAAACACCGATAGTCATCAGTCAGCGGTCATCACTGCACTCTTAATGTCATGGTTAGCAACATTTATAAAATAAATTTCTTTTTCAATCAACAATTAAACAGTAATTGTCTGCTCGAGATCCTCAACACAGAATTTCAATACATCGTGACATTAATGTTGAGAACATTTTTGCCAATGACCTCAAGTCTATAATATTTTGCATATATACCTTTTAAAAGCGTACAATTTCATCAACTTTTGAATACATTCCAGCGAAGGACTGTTAACAGGCACAAGTCCTTGATAATGTATAATTGTTCCATTATGACTTTGAAATAAAATTTGTAAACTCCTGACAGACAGACACCAAATCGACCATTTTGTGTCCAACGTGACACATAAATATGTATGATAGGTTTGACTACAATTGAAGAATAACCCACCAGAATTAAGCTGTTTAAGTATTTTTTCGTTGGTTCCATCTAAACTGGTGCTTTTAATGCGATGAAGGCCTACGTCTGTGTAGAAGACCGTGTGAGTCACCGGGTTGTAGTCTATTGCTATAGGAGTGTTCACAGAGTACTGCGGGATAGCAGAATAACTACCACTCTCCAAGTCCATTCTGTAAATCTCCTGGATATAAGAATCGGCCACCAACACAAAGTCTCGAATAGTGGCTGCATCTAAAATATCGATTGGAAAACAATATTGAGTACAAGATATACCGTAATACAGTCGCTGTACTCAATTGTAATAAATATAATACAATCATCGTCTTAGAATATATGAAATTTAAATGATACCGAACACCACTTTTCTCTTGTTAAGCGCACTTTTTGACAAGAAGCCCTTTAGCCTTAACGGTACTAGGATATCACGCATTAACGACACGAGTAACGTAAATGCCTGAACTGTGAAGACGCACTGAATGTACAGTTAACCCCTGCGTCCTCGTTATGGCGGCAGTTGTGAAGACCCCAGTCTCCAATCTTAGTGCACTGAGCGATGTGGGACTCCTCGCCTGTACAATTGACATCATCAAGGAAAATGATAACGGAGTTGTCTGTCCCATAGTAGGCTCGAGAAACGGCCTTCGCTCCGGTCCTGGTTAAATATTCAAGTGATAATTGAAAAGTATAATAGTATATATTATATATAGTGGCTGATCAAAAGTGCACATTTAATATCATAAAAGCATGCACAACAATACTAAGAAGACAGAGGAAGAGAACACAGTAGGCAAACTGAATACTGATAACCTAGTGTAACTCTCTCTACCATGCATGTTACAAAATGTCGTTAAACATGAAAGATAATCAAACCGAGGCCTACTTTCCAAATCCCAACATTTCACAGACGACCTTGGCCTCTCTTTCGTCCCACATGTCGTCACAAATTGTCCCCCATTCTCCGTTAATGTAAACCTCTACCAGGCCTTCGTAATGCTCCCCCTTACCCACGAGTCGAACAAAAATATGGCTTTCGTCTACTACAATGGGCGAGGGTGTAACCACACCTATAAATAAATTTAGTTATCTGATAAATGAATAATTATCCATGGTTGTTCTACAAGATATACGTTTTGCATCTGTGTTTCCGATGAAGTTTAAAAAAGAAGAATTTTACCTGGCATTCCGTATCCGTACTTGTGGACCCTAATGTCCGCTAACTGCCGGAAACCGGTAGGTCCGACATTGGTCTTACCAGTACCATCCTTATTGACTCTCATTACCGTACTGAAGAGCAAATTTACAATAAGTAAGCACGCTTACGTCATTTAGTATACTTAACTTTAATAGACAATAAATAAATATATTCACTGTTGGTTCCAGTCGGTGTAATAAAGGTACTGTTTATAAGGCGACAAAGCGAAGAAGTGAGCAGCTGTGTCGGTTAAAAGGACGGTACGGCTACTTCCGTCCGGCTGCATTGCTTCAATTTTATGCGTACCAGCATCCACGAAATAAAGCCTATTCTCTGTAAAGAAGAAAAAGATAGTAAGATACCACGATAACCATACTATAATTTCTATACTTTAAATAACCTGATTAAGCATCATAAATGAATATTTACCTTGATAATCATATGCTAGACCGTTTGGCCATTTCAAATTGGTTGTTGCGAGAGTTTGCCTGTTTCCTCCGTCATAATTGGCTTTCTCGATCTTTGGACTTTTCCCCCAGTCTGTCCAGTATATTGTTCTAAAAATCATGAAGTTACTGTCAAATACGAGCACAGGTTGCAAGTAACCATGATTCCTGCACGACAATTTTATGCTAGCGCTCTGAATAGTCTTTTTTACAGGAGTACACAGGCCCGAATTCACGGCAGGGCATTATTGATTGATTGTAATTGTATGTTGTTTTAAGTCCCGTTGAACAATTTCTCACTCATATAGAGACGTTACCATATACTGGCGAAGAGCTTCAAATTTAGACCTTTACTCGGCACTCAGGCCCATTGAGCTGTGAGAGTTTCTATTGCCAACGCCTACCGTGACACGGGACCTCGGTTTCTAAGGTCTTTCTCTTCAAAGTGCTGAAAGCTTGGCAGTGATAGTGAGCGGCGCAAGGCCGCTCGTCACTGCGAGCTCTTTAAGCAACGCCTTGGCGAGGAAAAATTCGAACTTTGCATATAGATCCAAATGATTTTTTTTGCAGTTACCTCGAGACCCACATGCATCGCATGTGGTCTCTCGCTGCTAACTTCGTTCGAGCAAAAACAACTAAAAATTCACAAATTTTATAAACTCACCTTAATTTAATGGATATTGCATACAGATACAATAGTAGAGTAAACGTTCTTTTTTAAACTTTTGCACTTTTCAAACTGCAGCAATCGAAACTTCTCGGGTCTTTCCGACAAGCGGATAAACAACCTCGAATGTGTTACGTAGGCGTCCATGACAACCTCCCTTTTCATAACTTTAAAATAAATGTAGGGAGACCTCTTATCTGTTGAGTTTGGAGCTCAACTTTATTGAATGTAAAGATATTACCTAAAATATACTACAGGAGTGACTTTTAACCCTGTCTTTCCAAGTCGCCCGCGTGGCGCAGTGGATAGAGCCTTTGCCCTAGAGTCGCGGAGTAAGGAGTTGATCCTTGCGTCGCGGGTTCGAATTCCACTGTGGGACGTGGAGACCGGTCCTTTGGATGAGACCGTATAAACTGATTCGCAGTAGGTGCTGGCACGAAAAAGATCCCTCACTGCTCAATGGCCCTAAGTGCCGAGTATAGGTCAAAATTTGCAGCTCTCCACCGGCAAGTGGTGGCGTCTCCATATTAGTGAAAAATTCTCGAGAGGGACCTTAAACAAAAAACAAACAAAAGCTGTCTTTCCAATGCTTTAATAAATAGGAAGCGACTCCATCTTGTATAAATTTTTAACATCCGATGATGTTAATACATTCGATGTTGTCTTTCCGACCTCTGACGGAAAGGTCTGAGATGATGCGATATGGAAATGCAGCTTCATGTAACATACGACGTCATGTGACGTCACAGTCTAGACGTTCCAAATGTCTCGTGCGGTTAGAGGGGGATCTTGAAATTAAGTAAACAACTGCGCTCACGCAAACGGTATCAACGTCAACATATTAGCAACTATTATAAAGATTTTTTTCTATATTTACATGGTCAACAGAATGCATGCAAACATTGAAATTTTTGTTTATTCTTTTGTCCTCCCTTTATATGGTATATCACGGGCGACGTAGAGCCTACTCGAGTTTTACCATTCTGAATTGAACCCCCCTCCCAGTACTGTCTAATTAATGATTTATGGATTCAGCAAAGTAAACCAGTGGGGTTCAGAAAACTTCTGTTTTATGATGGCTACAGCGCTAGCTAACTTATCCCTTTAAAATATACGCTTATACGAGTTACATGCAAAAAATCTTACTGAGTGGCGGGAACAAGAGCCAAGTCACGTGGTTCATCCAAACTCTGATTCACAATAACTTTGTATCCAGTGCCATCTAAATTAATGGTTCCAATAAGATTGTTTCCAGTGTCTGCGTAGAAAAGCCTTCGGTTGATCGGATCGACCTGAATTTTCTCTAAATCAGCATCTGAACAGGAAAAAAATATGGAAGAAAATCATTTCAGTTGTTGTTTACAAACCATCAACAGAATTTTCTATAGTTGAAGATAACCATGCTTGTCCAATTTAAACTTTTTTATCCATGCACGACCTAGAAATAAAAAAAAACCCTAGGCAATAAAATATAATCTACAAATGTTTAATTTTTAGCGACCTACTGAATTAAATCTACAGTCGACGTCGAAGGTTGTATATTGATATTCGACTGTACTCTTTTTAAAGACAAAATTTACATATTACAAATGATATAAAAATTCCTTGTAGAACCATGACGCAAAAAACCCCCCACCAATTTGAAAAAAAAAAAAAAAACATCGGAAAAGCTTAAGGCTTAATCTCAAAGAAATCATGTTTAATTTTAAAAAAAATCTATCATTTAGCTAGCTCACCATAATTTAAAATACTTTCAAAAATTGGATTGAGGACCTATACATCCGTATGTTATAAATGTGGCAAAGAACATGGAAATGGGCTTTTTTTCATTTTTATTTGTGTACATCCTATCTTATAGCTGAATATTTAAAAGATTTTAGATTTTACAGCAAGAATAAATTGTTGACTGATATAAAGAAACTTCATTGTAGTTCAGTTTGATTTTTTGCTTCGTATTCGTCAAATTAGGGACATTTTTATCAGTTTATCCCACCCTATTCTTTCTTTTAAACGCTACAAAATCTAACAATTGTTTCGTTGATACGTACTTGCATCTAGTTGTTTAAGTTCTCTGACGTCAGTTCCGCTGAAATGTACGCTCATCAGCTGTCTGAGTTTGTAATCCACAAAGTAAATCCTTCCTTCTGTGGGATCATAATCAAAAGCTGTGGGGGTATATAAATTGTTCATAGGAATGGGCACATAACTCTGGGTGTTTAGGTCCATTCTGAAAATCACTCCACCAAGTCCGGTATCCAGCAGAAAAATGATGTTATCTTCTTGACTGGCTGTAGAACGAAATAATCCAGAGAAATATTTTCACACTTTATAAAAAATTACATTATGCTCTTCAGCACAGTTGTTTTGAAAAAAGTAAAATATGGAAGTTCACTATCACACGTACTATAATTCATACACTGTAACTTATCATAATTTCTGCATAAAAGATATCTTGTGAAGTCCCCACTTAGAACTGGACACTTATATACTTCTTACCTGAGTTACAGATAACCCCTGCGTCTTCGTCATGTCCACAGTCGTGAACCCCCCATCCATTAAAGTGACACTGGTCAATGCTTGCTTCTGTTCCTGTACAATTTACTTCGTCCATAAATATCTTGGCATATAGTGGAGCTCCACCGAAAACTGCTCCTTGTGCTCCGCCAGATCCGCTCCTAAAAACCAACACCTATCTACAATTACTGGAGAAATTGAAGCATTGTCATAGTATTTTTAGAGATTTCTCTCGGTTAATTGTGGAATGAATAACCGTACAGAAGATTAAATAACGTCGTACTAGGGTACCTGCTATATCCCAGCATACCGCAGATAACCTGGGCTTCATGTCCACCCCAGCCATCATCACAAATTGAGCCGAATATACCATTATGGAAAACTTCAACACGCCCCTCATAAGCATTGGATCCTCCGACCAAACGAACATATGTAGGACTAGATGTGGACACCGTTGGATTAGTAGTACCTGACCCTATGAGAATAACAGTCAATCTTTTATTCATTCTTGTATCATTCCAGCATTGATTTGGTTTTTGTAACTCATCGGTCTGAATTACACGAGATGTGCATATAAATTAAATGTTACATTATTTCAAGTGCAAGTCTCACTTTAATTTTATTTAAACTTTGAATTTACCACTCTATCCTTTCATGTTACAATAATAAGATCTAATCAGTACTGGTCACAGACCGTCCTACCACAACAATAGCATTTATGAAAGAATAAAGACAAATGTTCTAAAATACTACTGTCCCGTTAAAGCATTTCCTATACGACAAAACAATTGGGATGACTTAAAATATTCTTTCTCCCATTTGTTATCCCCCTCCATACAGGGATTCCTTCTTTGTTTCTCTAAATTGTTAGAGACACCCTAGTGATTATTTGGTTGTTTGCCATGATCCATGCAGCATTTGCATAATTGCTTCATAATCCGAGAATTATATTGTACGTATATTTTTTTTTTATCAGTTTCTTCAATTCTCAAAAGACACTCGACAAGACACGCAAATAAAAATTTAGAATCTCGAGTTGGAGAATAACCCTAACCCGCAAAATGTATGAAACTAACATTTTTCAATGTACGTTTTTTTCGTGCAGAGCATTCCGGTTTTACATTTCATAGACAAGTTTATGAATAGTAGACGACACGTATCTTACCCCCAGACGATCTTATGGAGAACTGAGGTAAACTGGTGTCATTGTTATGTAAACGAACGACCTTTGACAAGACATTTTGATAACTCTTAATGCATAGTGCGCCATCAATGCAGATTTGACAGTTCGCCAGTACATATTCTCACTACAGTTATACCAGTTAAAAGGCAATACGCGAACCATCTATCCTTTCGTTTTCACTAAATTGGAGGTTTTAAAAGACTAAAAAGACTATACGAACAATATGTTATGGTTCGAGCAGATAAGGCTTATAACAATATCGTCTTTGTTTGTAAGGTTCATTATTATAACTGTATTTTTGAAGAACTCTACGTCTGGAAATCCAACTTGTACTCACAGTTCACTTTAAAAAAAATTCTTCAAAAATCACATTTCAGTCTTTAATACTTTTAACATTCCTAAACTTCATTAAATTTTTGCAAACAAAGATACATTGCTGGGTCCAACAAATGCCCTATCTTTACTCCTACAAAAATATTAAGTGCTGTAAAGGAAAAACTTTCAGACATACTGTGCCACAGCACATTCGAGAAGTAGTGTAAATCAAATATGGATTCTCAAAACCTTCAAAGAATTTTTAGAAAATTTTAAATCACCAAGTTTTCAAAAGACAACAACTGCAAAACGTATGGTATTTCTACACTTCATACAACCATTTATCACGATATATTAAAAACTAGCCTTTTGGTACCATAAACTTTTGCTTCTTCAATAAAAATGGAACTCGAAAACTTTCATATCTGATGATTGGTTATCAACAAAATCAGTTTGTTAAAAAATAACTCTGATTCCACACACTAGTACTCTGAATTTGATATTAAAAGGATGCTGGAGTTTCTCATTGACTACATCTATGTAGTCTTTGGAGACCAGGTCTTCCAACAATCTGTTGGAATATCGATGGGCACTAATTGTGCTCCTTCATTTGCCGACCTGTTGTATATTCCTACATGTTGTTTGTAGTGTTTTTTAAGATCGATCACTGTTCGTTATCATCACATTTTTTATTTGTTTTTCTGGACTAAACACAGAATTCATTACAATTAACTTTTGGCTCTCAGAGATTTTTTTTATATATAACATTAATATAACTACTTCCTCGACGAATAATCCCAGTACAGTTATTTAGCTAATCACCCCAACACATATTTCCTTTACAGTTCTTTTAAGAAAAAAAATAAAAAGTCATATTTGGAAGTATTATTTAGCATAAAACTTCTCATGTAGTGTTATCATGGTTAAATGGCGATTCTCTTAGTGTTGGATATACTTTTAGTAATTGTTGACTTGTTTAGTACTAGTAATAAAGTAAGAGACTGATTCCTTTAATAATTATACGACAAATTACCTCATCAGAGAACTGTCATTTGACTGCTCACCTTAACAGAGATTCTTTTTTTTTTTTTTTAAATTTATTAATGACTAATCCTCACATTGATAGCTATTTTATACCATATCCATAGGTTCCTATTACAATTGGTCAACTATTCCTATTAAGTTATTTATCAATTATCCTCGATTCCTACTTATTCCTAGAAATTAAGTTATACGTATTTGATTACTTCAGTTCAACATAGAATCCCATTACAGTTATTTGATACTTACCTCCAAAAATATTACTATTACAGTTATATTTGATGCATCAACTACACTGATTCCTCTTACAGTTTTTGTAAACTCATCTGTACAAAAATTTTTATTAAAGTAATCTGAAGACTGGGTTTGCGCGGTTTATTATTACGGTTATTTTATACTTACCTCCACACAGAATCCTATAACAATTATTTGTATATTCACCTCAACACAGAATCCTATTACAATTATTTGTATACATTATTTACCTCTACACAAATTCCTATTTCAGATATTTGTATAATAACCTCCATAAAAATTTCTATTTCAATTTGATGTGTTTGTATACTCATCTCCACACAAATTCCTATTACAGTAATTTGTATAATAACCTCCAAACAAAGTCCTGTTTCAAGTACATTTATCCACAAAAATTCCTGTTACAGTTATTTGTATAATAATCTACACAAAAATTCCTATTTCAATTACATGTATTTTATGCTCACCTCCACACAAATTTCTATTACAGTTATTTGTTCTACAGCACTGGTTGCAATTGGTATTCAGTTGACGTGTGTTTCTTTTTCGTCCCACCGCTCCCGCTCCGCCTCCAGCAAGGGCATTGCATAACTGCATCAAAATCAACGTTCTTGTAAAGGACTTCGTTTTATATTATAGATTAAGAATTCAGAAAAGTAAGATTACACTTACCGACGTTGAACGACATCCCATAGAGTACACAGTAGATTGGAATATAGATGAGGTCGAATGAGACTGTGTGTAACATTCCTACAAAAAGGTTCAACAGTCAAGATGTTTTATTCGTTACAGATTGTGTAGTGAGATACCTGATCGAATCGAATCAAACGTCTTATTTTTATTACAGTGGAGTCGACTCTGACTTAAATTAACAAAGAACTATACCGGTTTATTTAGAGCAAATCTCTTAAAGCAGATTGTCACATTTTTATGCATTTATAAGTAAGTTTGAATGATGGTTTTAGTGGTAACATTAAATACTACATCCTTTTCAATTTCATGACGTCCAACTGTATGACTTATTAAATTCGTTTCTCGTTTCATAGTCCACGTACTTAAATCAGCTGTTGTTCGGAACATATGAAGGATCTAGCCTTTATCACTTTTTTGTTTACCTCGTTAGCATTACAAGTTATCACTCGAGTACATTGGGAGGGGTCTGCAATATTGTTGCATTCATAACATGACTTTAAGGCTGAAAAAAAGAAAATGTTTATATATACTTAAGTTTTCAAATGCTAACAGTAGCTCTGCTCTAACTTGAAGAATGTGTCAAAATAAAGAAAAAAATTATGATGTGACAAACTGCCTCCTCACCCTTCTTATCTCTGGATAATGCCGCAGAACAAGAGGCCAGAAATCCTGAAAATAAAAATTAAAAAAAGGGAAAGCTGTATGTATTTTAAAAAATCAAATGAAATCGTTAAACGGTGGAAAACCAAGTCCAAGCTCTAAGAGGAAACAAACCTGCTATTAAGATAAAGCGGCGTACTGTCATGGACATGTTGTCTTCGAATGATCCGTACGACACCAGTTGGATGACTTTATATTCAGATAAGAAATTAAAAATATAGGTCTCCGAAGTAACTGTAAACCTTGTACAGGTTTACTGTCATCTGACGTATGCAATAATACTTTTAAAAAAAACATCAATCAAAGCTGGGTTATCATTAAAAGCTGCAAATTCATTAACTTTTTAAATGGTATCATAGATAGTCTATATGTTAAATACTTTGTGATAGTTTTGAGTCTCGTTTCTTTTACTTTACTGTACACTTATTTTAAGTATGACACATAAAATGTACTCTGCTCGTCAGGTTATCAGACTACGAACTTCCTTATTGCAGACTGTACTGTAGAACGTAGTTAACCCACAAAAATAATAAAACCTCATTATCAAAAATTATTTAATTGTATATATACATATAAAAGAAAATACTGAAATCATAATCAGAATATACCGGTAATTTGGGTACGGCAAGCTACATTATATTTCCCAAAATATTAAGCGATTAAAAAAATTAAAACTTGTCCTTTTTATTTTCTTTTATTGTTAAAGAAAAATGCACGCATAGTTCGTTCTCGAAGCCTGAATAAAAATTACTCCAACAAATCAAATGAGGCTTCTGTGTATTCTCCACCTTCATTCCAAGCTTCGACCTTAAGCTCAGTTCCGCTGAATGTCATTGCAGCAGTTGCTGATCGTCCCAGTCCCTCGCCTGGGATATCGATGTCTAGTTCTCCAAGATAAATGCATTTCTCTTGCTCATTAAACCAGTCAATCTCAGAGTCATAGCTGTCGTCATCTCCATCTTCATCAACGTACATTGGATTGGGATCTTTTGAAATATAAACTTCTAATGTCATTCTTGTTTGGTGTGGTTCCGTGACAGTATATGTTTGTTCTGCTTGTGGGATTCCAACTTCGATTTGTTGATTGATTTCCACGTGCTTATGAAATACTCCCGTGCACAACACTTCTCCAGTGCTAGTCTCCATTCGTCTGGACCAATCATGTTCGTGTTCGTCAAATGGAATTGATGTTCCAATACCATATGTATATTTGCTCACTCGGCATTGAATTGTGGATGGCTCGTGGCCAAATATCACGGCACCCTTCAAAACTGATAATCCAGCCTCGTTAGGAACGACGACTTTCTTATTTTTGAAGGCCACCATTACTGCATCGCGGAGCATTGGCGATTCAGAATAACCGCCAACCATCAGAATGTAGGTTGCTTTACTGACTTCCGGGATCTGTGCAAGGTTTTTCAGATGCTCCACGATATGGCTAACCGAATTACTGAAAAGACCTTTAGCGATATTTGCACTCATTCTGAGTTTGTCGCCCATCCAGTTTATTTGATCTTTGTATTTTGGATTTCTCTTCAAAGTATCTTTGATGTCGCACTTGTTTGCAGCCTTAAAAGTTTCATTCAAACTAATTGGCACCTTAAATGTTATCTTCTCGTCCAAGTCTGGGGTAATCGTGCGCTTTTTTACTTCAAAATTTCTAAAAAGTTCCAGCATGTCGTATTTGTAATCCTTACAAAATTTCTCCATGACTTTCTTTCCCACGATGTCTTCTAGCAATTCTCTGAATGCTTCATCAACTTTTGTTCCACCCCAGTCTCCTCCATTTGCCTTGTGAATTTCTTTCAGGGTGCCATTTTGCTGCACCTGATGCACTGTTATATCAATGGTACCTCCTGTAAAAAGTATTGGAATATGTTAAGTTGTTGCCGGTTCAAACTGCAGTTTTTTTTTCCCAGACGTATCAAAGACATGGAAAGAATGAGCGAATTTTATATACCTCCGGCATCAAGTACGATGTATGCCGAACCCGGAGAGAATACGTTGAAACCTTTTCCAGAGGACCCTGTCATTTTCTCTATGGGCACGTGTTTACAAAAGAGGGAAGCAGCCTCGGGCTCCAGTGCTATCACCAAATCATCTTTATCAATGCCTGCCTGAATTGAAATGAAGGTAACAGTGAAAAATCTTCATAAGGCCAACTTTTTATTACCAACATTTCAAAAAAGTTAGTTTGAGAGAAAATAGCCATTTCTAAAATGATTTAAGTATCAGTAAGTGAATGCAAAACAATAAAATCTTAAGAAAGAGGCAACGAAATATTATTGAGCAATGACAAACGTATCCTTCATTAAAGCATGGGCATTTAGACAGAGAATGTATAAGCTCAATCCTCAGCAATACTTCTTAAGTCGCTAGGAAATTAACAAGGTATAAGCAAGACTGTAGAGAAAATGGTGATTGGTAGAATCGTCATTGAAGAAAGAGTGGCAATGTGTATCAGCTACTTCGAAGTAGCGCCCGTCTCCTCCATACAAATATGACACTGAATGTAATAAATAAGGCAAGTATATGCCAGTGAAAAACGTTTACATGTTTATATTGTTTACCATTTCAGCTGCTTCCCTCATGAACTGCTTGGCAGGGTCAGTCCAGATGGCGGGAACGGTGATCACGAACATAATGTCTCCTACATCCAGCGAGGTTTGCTGGCTCTTGCATTTCTCCACAAGGTGATCTTTTAAGTATTCGATAACTTTGGAAAAGACTTTCATGGCATCCATCTGTTTACCGTTGTCAGCTTCCAGCTTAAAATCTCTCCTTATTCCCTACAACAAAATCCGCAAAACACCGATTTCAATCAGTACTGTGTCTGTAGCCAACTTAAAGTTGCAGATTAACAATGAGTCAAATTTTAACTTGGTGTATAGATTTCTTTAACACCAATACTGAATATTATACTATCAAATAATATATAAGTATTATAACTGTAGTCAGTTATCACTAGTATCTTTATTAGACGAGTGGTATCATATGGGAGAAAAGCTTCTCTTTGTAAAATATGTTTCATTTTGAATATTGATACAAAGCCACTTTATCGATATATGGAGACATTGTTCACGTCTAAATGCAGTCTGAAAACGTTTCAAGAAGGTGAAACGTACATGTAATTATTTTTTTGATCGGCTTCGACCGATCACAGTTGTTTCCATATAAGGCATCCGGCAGATTAGACTATCTACGCACACATTACGCCCCGCACTACTTTGTTTACTACGCACTGACGGCTTCATGTAAATCTTTCATAACATGTTAAGCACTAACGAGTATTTTTTGATGCATTTACCTTGAGATGCAAACGTCCATACAGTTACATGATGAATAAACTTACATTTTTCTTTACATGCGTAAGAATTTCATTCGGAATTAAACTTCCTCTAAGGGTGAAGTGTCTTCTTTCATTGGTGTTTCGGAAAGCAAAAAAAAAAAATATTCAAGTCGTATCGAATTAAGAAAGCGCGACTTATCCTATTCTGTCTATTTATAACCATAGCATTGTGGACTTTCAGCATATTATCGAGTATAAAGAAGTTTCAAATCTCACTGCTTTAAGTAGATGTATTTTGAATTTTACCGTAATGATGATTTAAAAAAAAAAATGCTTGACACAACACATAGCCACTATTAATCCTGTTAATAAGAAAAAGTCGAAAGTTGACTAGGTGTGGAACGGAGCAGAATACCTGTATGAGTACTGAAGTTTTATTTCCTTGCAGCTTTAATTAAAAACTCGGTAAAAGTTTGATTTTTCTTTACAACGATTTGCCCATTTGATTTCATGTCTCTCATTCAATTTCACAAAAAAAGTCAACATTTCATCTTTCCAGTTACCAAATAGTTTTAAAGGGAGCATAATGTGGTCGTACTACTCTATATAACAACATTGTCCGATTAAAATTTGTTCTTCAATTTAAATTTGGTATGTTAAAAAAAGCATTTCTTTACACATCATACTCAGTTGAGAAAAAATGTAAAATTATATAATATATATCTTACCCTTTTATGAGCTTTCATTTACATACATTGTACAATTCTATAGTGTAGAAGAGGGCAGTATCAAAGATATTTTATTATAATATTGAATTGTTTGAATGTCATTCAAAAGGAATCTTTAAACTTCTATGATCTTTAACGCTTAGAGTACCAATAATTAGTTCTATGTATAAAAAGCTCTCTAGACAAACAACAGAAAAAGATTTATGGATCAGCCTGAAACACATATTATTCTCACCTAATAAAAATGGCAATATATACTTATAATTGACCTTTTTTCATTTCTTATATGGCACTGCATTTCATGATCAACACATACAACTCATTTCTCATACTAGGAATGTTGATTTTCATAATTGACTCTTCATGAATCTTAATATAATTTACCTAAACCTTACAATTTGTTTGTAAAGATTCATCTTGAATCGCTTAAAGAACATCCAGTCATGATGCTCCTCGTCCAGAGCAAGTTCGGAATATTTGTCCTCAGCCTCGAATCCACAAGAATGGAAGTTTCCATGCTTGTCAAAGAGGACACAACTAGAGGTCTTCAGTGATTGGAGGCCCCCGCTTCCCGCCGTCCAGGTAAATGTGGAACACTTCGTAGGATCCTTTTGGTATTCATGTAAGAACGAAAAGGCATAACCAGAAAATGTGGTTCCAAAATCAACAGCTGCCACTATCAAGTGATCGCCTGACGCCATACTGGAGTTATGATTCTAAAATGAATCGAAATAAAGATTTCAGTCTGTTAGACATTCTTATATTAAAGATGAATGAGTTCGGTAGATGATCACTAGTCTTATAAGCTCTGTCAAATTCTTGCAACGACCAAATCTCATAATAACTGAATTTCCTTTTGCATAACTTTGTGTCAACAAATGTTAGATTTTAGCTCAATTGAGTTATGAGCTCGAGAGCTTTTCTGATCACCTCGTTGCCCGAAGTTCCGTATGTTTATTCGTCCTTCCGTTTGCAGACTTCTGAATTTTTCAGTGTCTTTTCTAAAATTAACAAGATGGCCCATGGGCCAAAACGTTCATCTGAGTCGCTATGGTCCTGCAGTTCTTTTTTTGTTTGTTAGTTATTTATAATTAACGTCCTTCTCCAGAATTTTTCACTCACATGGAGACGCCACCACTTGCCGGTGAAGGTGCAAATTTATACCTATATTAGTACTCAGGGAGATTCAGCAGTGAGGGATCTTTTTCACGCCAGCATCTTTTGCGACACGGGACCTCCATTTATACGGTCTCATCCGAAGGACCGGTCTCCGAGGCCTGCAGTGGGATTCGAACTCGCGACGTAAGGATCAAATCCTTACACCGCGACTCTAGAGCAAACGTTCTAACCACTGCGCCACGCGGGCGACCTCAACTGCTGAATTGTTCCCTATATATTTCTATGTAAAACTTTGATCGTCCATCAAGGGTCCCACTCTACCCTCGGAAAGGGGGAGGGGCATTATTTGAACAAATTTTAATCTAGACTACTTGAGGATACTACCATATTAATATGACTAATCATGCCTATGCTGTTCTTGAAAAGAAGATTTTGAAATATTTTCCCTATATATTCCTATGTAAAACTTTAATCGTCCATTGTGGCTCCATCCTATTCCTGGGGGTCATGATTTGAACAAATTTGAATCTACACTACTTGAGGATGCTTCCATAAGAAAATAACTTATCATGGCTTCGCTGTTCTTGAGAAAAAGATTTTGAAAGATGTTTTCCTATATATTCCAATGTAAAACATTAATCATCCATTCTGGAACATTGGAATTATTGTTTGCATGAAATAGTTGAAAGTGTTGAAACTTACAAACAATACAAATCTGTGAACAGGGCATAAAACACTTTTCTCAGGAAATTCCAGAAGTGGGATCAGTTGCCTAGGAGGATTAAACATCCCCTATCGACCGGTCGAATCGCCATGAGCCCTGTGTATTGTGATTTTTGTGATTTTAAATTTTCTAAAAGTTCTTTGAAATTTTCGAGAATCGGCATTTGATATGTACCACTTTTCGAATATGCTATAGCACAGTATGTCTGAAGATTCTCCTTTACAGCAGTTAATATTTTTGTGAGGAGTAAAGATAGGGGCTTTGCTGGACCTGGCAATGTATCTTTATTTGTCAGGATTCGTTTGAAGTTTAGGAATCCAGTATTGGTAGGGTAGATTCGTTGACTGGAACATTAAGGAATGAAATGTGATATTGAAGAATATCATCCTTAGAAAGTGAACTGAGAGTATAAGCTGGATTTCCAGACGTAATTAAAACTAAGTTCTTCTATGAACCTTACAAACAAAGAAGATATTGTTATAAGCCTTGTCTGCGGGAATCATAACATATTGTTCATGTTGTCTTTCTAATTTTTTATCACCTCCGATTTGGTGAAAACGGAAGGATAGATGGTTCGCATATTGCCTTTAAACCTTCCAACACGATTCTTCAATATTTTTCTAAAACACTTAATCCAATCTGACAAAGTGTTCAGGTCTTCCTCTTCATTTTTCGCCTAACGTCTTGCATAATCTTCGACAGAATTCATAATAGAAATATTCTCTTGTCAATTGGAAGATCGGTGCTCCCTGTATTTAGGACCTCTTAAAATGATTGCTTTTAGGTCGTAATTTTCACCTATATTAACATCACCAGTAATGAAGTGTCCAGCGGGACCATAGTTGAAAGAAGAGGAAGAGCAAGAAAACTTATGAGAATTTTTGCTTTAGATGGTCAACATCTAGGAACTGTAAGGTTTGTTTATGATTGAAAAGTTTGGAAGCAAAAGTTTGTGAATATCTGCAAGAAATACAGGGTGTAGATTTCAACTTGAAATTTGATGGAATGCAAGAGTGAACTTTTTATGATGGTTAATAACCCGCTTAAGGTAGTCCGATCCTCAGGTTCTGAAAATCAGGCATTAAATAATTGAAAATGTTCACAAAAATGTCTCTGACATTCAAACTTTATCAGTAATGGATAAATAACGAGATGGTGTTGAATAGTTTAGAGAAAACATTCCCTCCGAGGGCCGAAGGCCCGAGGAGGGGATGTTTTCTCTAAACTATTCAACACTATCGAGTTATTTATCTTACTTAAAAAACTTCCCTACTGTGGACCCCAAAGAAACATTTACCAATTCATATATCCAACTTTGCTGTAATACAATAGGATCTAGCCCATTTAGATATCCAACAGTGACACAATACAATAGCCTAATCGAACACCCCTTTTATTCATGGACTAGTGAGCGTGAAACTGCATGGTGTTAATGTCATTTCAAACCTTTCCATTGTACTGAACAGTCATGAAATCAGATGAAGAATAGTTTTAAATCCAAAGTAAAATTAGAGGGGTTCAGATAGTGTTCTAAATACTTTTGACCTGAAAGCAGAAGAAAACTACAGGATTTTGATAAAAGGTTGGAAATCTATCATTACATATAAGATGATGATTTGTTGGGGAAAAATGTTTGAATCTTATGGAGTTCCACTCGGACAATACTTCTAGTAGTGCTAAAACAGATGAAAAGATTGTCGGTGTTATGCGGAACCTGCTTTAAAAATATTCCATATCAAGATCTGCAATAAAAAAGGTATCAAAAATAGATGGGCTGTCAATTTATTAAATTGTTTCGGGAAGTATGCTGGAAAAGTATGAGAACAGAGATGAACCTCTAATAATCTGAGAGGATTTGCTGATAACGGACCCCTGAAATAATATTCAGCAACAGGAAGTGATGTGGTTTAAGGTTCAAGGTGAAAATGTATTTAAAAGCGTGTCAAAATGTGATATTTTCAAAATTTAAGACCGGAATATTCTGTTAAAAAAACCATGGATAAGTATTGGATATTTTATTGACGACACGAGTCTAACAATGTGCAAATTCGGAGTAATTGTAATTTTTGTGAGCATTGGAAGTACATTTTTAACACGATTCTAATGATGTGATAAATGCAAAGTGATTAATTCTGTGTGCATTGGACAAATTCTAATAGTGTGACAAATTTTGAGTTATTGTTTTTTATTTGAATTGGAAATACATTTTAAACTCTTTTATCTCTCTTTTTTTCATTGCTTAATTATGTTTGTATGCACAGTTGGATATTTAAATATCCAACCGATGGGCAGTTGGATATTTGAATATCCAACTGATGGCCAGTTGGATCTTAAAATATCCAACTAGTGCTGGTTGAATCGGTAAGATATACGTAGACTAATAACAATGGGTGACGTCATTGAAGTTTTTTAATTTAAGTTCATCATGTTATCAAGGAAAAATTAGTAAATCTCAAATAATATTTTAGGAAATGTAAATAAAGACACCTACTATGCATATTCTTATTGGAAATTGATCAACAAAAACATTTTAGGATAAAAACTATAAGTATCCAGGCATTTGAAGAAAATTGCATGATTTTTATACTTAGACAGTACTTTAGTTTCTTCTGTGTACTTCGATTATTTTATAATGCATAGTTTATAAAGTGTTCCTATCAATGCAAAGCATCATAAATCATTTCTAATTTCATATCATGCTAATTAGCATTGGTATCTAAGGCTAAATTAGAGGAAAAGTCGAATTCTTCAAATCTGTATTTTTAACATACCTTTAAGGGTAAAAATATCAATGTTTTAAAAGGCTGTTTCTGAAACTTCAAAGAACTTTAAATCATGTTGAGATGCATAAAATGAAAATTGTTGCATGAAAAGATTACATATTTCAGCTTCATTTTGAGACTTTTTGAATTAAATAATAAATTAAAGAGTTATCCTTCCTGGCTGAGGATCGGATATCCTTAAACGAATTATGTATTTTTTTTTAATTCTGCAATGATTACATTGCTTAATGCCCGAGGAACAGAGAAAAATATTGTATTGTTTATATTTATATCTGTATAAACTATTTGTATAAACTGGTTGAAACTACATAGAAAATTGTATAATTGGTCCTTACGTAACATTAATGGAAAACCCCACTTCTTACGAAACTTTTTTAAAAAGTTATAGCTAGTTTAGAGTCAATCAACTGATACAATGTAACAAGTTTTCATGAGATATAAGGGAGAAAATATTAAGTGGATGAAGATGTATACTAATATAAGCATAACCCCTGTAGTGTGGATTCAAATTTTCAAATCATTTATTCGCTCTTCTCCGTGCTCAAACTCTTCAAAGTTTTACACAGAAAAATTCAAACATCTAAAAGAGAAACAAAATTGTAAATTTGATGTAAACTATCAATTAAATGTCAATTAAATTATTAAAATCATAACGTTAAAGTTATGGCTAAAAAAATCATTTATTTTCATATTTTTGTGACTCAAGTGAACTTTGTGGCGCATTGGCCTCTTGTTTTGTGATGTGAAATATATACTTCTATCCCTTCTTCCCACAACCGGGACAAAGAACTAGCATTTTCCTTATTGGAAATAAGAGTCAAGCTACTAGTATACGATAGTCAATATGAATAAAACTCATTTCAGAAAATAATTCAGACTAAAAACGAAAGTAAAAAATATTTCTCAATGAATTCTGTCAATATTCAAAGCCAAGCAAGTATTTCTGTAGAATATTTTACACATCTGAAATTCTTTTTGAGTTTTTCTTTCATCGTTATTTAAAAAAAATATATAATAAAATAAACGGAATGAATTACTATTGTAAAGGTACTTTCGATTTGTAGATTAAACAATGAATAAATAATAAACAATTCTTAAATCTTTAGTTCATGTGTCGGAATGCCAATATTTTGGTCATTAACTAGATGACGTTCGTTATACGTACCTCCTTTCCTCATCAGAAATTTCTTCTATAGGAAATTTATAATAGTAGATCGAAGAAATCTATTATTAGATCGTATTATAATATTTATCAAATTGTTAGAATTTAAAGGTCTTACACAGAACGGAAACCCAATAACTGTTGTAAATCTTAATAAACAAATTATCAAAAGTTAAAAATAGACTATGGGACATTTTTAAAAGTGTCTTCTCTGCCACAGAAACTTGTTTCTGTATTAAAAGTTTATCCCAATAGTATACAAAATAATATGTTATATAACTCCAAATTACATGAATTAAGATCCTCTCGAGAATTGCACAGAAACAATGCAAATTACAACCATTCTGTTTACTTACAAAATGTATGACATGCTTGTCTAATTTTATAGACAAAAAACACCCATTTTCTGCTTGAGTGTTACATGTATATTATACTGAAGGGGTAAACTTTTAATACAGAAACGATTGCCAGTGTCGTCTACATAGCACGATATTGGTAGAATTATAAGGATGACTGTTTCCCGGTCTCCGTTCATCTCACTATCTGCATGGAAGGAGTCGCACTGTTACCAAAAGCCAAAAAGCTTCAAAAGGATTTACATAAACGTGAAAAGATAAACACTACAAGTATCTCAACAATATGCAAAACAATATATGGAGTCTGCATGGTCGGTTCAAATGGAATGTTTTTAATTAAAAATATCTGTAATTATACCAATCCCGGCGTATTTGATTTATTTCATCAAAAATAGATTGAAGTATAATTATTGCTATAGATTTATTCTAAATGTGAAAATAGATAAAAAATTAACATGTGAACTATAATATTAGGACTCGTTTCATCATCTGTATTATTCATCAGCAGAGGCAGGCTTTGAAAATGCACTCAGAAGTCGCATTTTTTTTTTTTTGGTTAAACGGATAACAAAGCCCGAATTACAAAAATGATTTGAGTTTAAAACCAATGGGTAGGACAAAATTTCCCATAAATGGAAATTTTATTAATCTATTAAAATCTTCTAAATTTACTCATGGACAATCCGTTTGCTTACTTATAATAAGCACTTAGCCCTCTACCACTTGTTTCAAAGTGATGCAAAGTTGATTGCCCGTTAAAATAAATATTCCTCTGAAAAATCTTTATTTCTGGACATTCAGCATATCTGATAATAATAAGTTACATGACCCAAATTATGCCAACATTTTCATGTTTATTAATAATTGAAAAGTTGTGCTGACGTCATCATGTATGGGATGTTAGATGTTTGAGAAGCGATAGCGGATTCGGGGAATCTAATTTTGTTTAGATTGATTATCTTCCTTCTTAAAATTCGTTATCACCAACTATATTTCTGCGTTTCTGATTTCTTTGCCCTTGGGACATCTGACCCCCGGATCATGAAACAGACTCTTGGAATTAAGTCAGAATTTGGCCACTTCTTTGTCTTAAAAGTTGTTAAGAAGTGTTATTAAAAGTTGTTTCTCTTCAGTGATTCATTTTGATGTGCGTCCTGCGTAAATTACGCATAAATTTTGCTCAGGACGCATTATTTCAATAAATGTGCATCCCAATGGACGCATTTTATTTATAAAATGAAAGGTATACTTTTTAAATTATTTCGGTATATTTCCATTTCTATTTGTTTTCTCTGTGATAACTCTTCGAAAGTTATGAGAGTTGATTTCTTGATCATTCTACCGGAATGCAAATTTCGCCAAGCGAAAGGTTAGGAGCTAAGAAGGCCTAATATGCACTTAATTCTCGTGCGGCTGTCTTTGTGTCTGACTCTAAGGAGGCCTAATACGCATGTAATTCTCGTGCGGCTGTCTTTCTGTTTGACGTCAGTGGCCGGGACTTTTGAAGTTGACATGTGTGGCCTCGTGTAATTTTAATCTATTAGTCTACATTTTTAAAATCTAACTTTACAATTTTATTTCACAATGAAATGGAAATATAAGGAATCACTGTCTAGTTAGTAGAGTATGCCAGGGACATCAACGATAGTTGGAAACGTGGGATAATTTATGCATAACGGGCTTCGCCCGTTATCAGTCTGGTCGAACCCCCGAACGGGGGTAAACGGAAATGGGAAACCCATACCCCCAAACGGGGGTACGAGCATGCGCAGATGCTTAAAAATGTGCGTATTTCACGCAAAAAGTAGGAGTTTAAAAAAATCGCCGGTGCAAAGTAACGGATTATTTGGCAAATGTAAAACCACTCGGAAATGATAGATTAAAGGTGTTTTTAGAGTTTGTATTTTACAAAAATACAACTTTATTGTACAAATCGGGATTTATTCACTGGCAAAGTTGGCGATCTTTTGCTCTTTGACATGCAGGTATTTAAGATAAAACATTCGATAAACAGACATAAGCAACTAATACTAAATTGAAATTATATATAAAAAAAAGGATTATTCTACATTATATCTTTTATTTTCATAATAAAATGCAAGAAAAAATGTTGCCAATATCGAATTGTTTATGATCGTGGGTTTCAGTCCGCGTTTCCTCTGACTAGCAATCAACGGTCTTTATTATCGATAATCATGCCCAGGAAGTGGAACAAAACTACATATAAAAATAAAATTCAAATGAAATCTATCGTATTTATTGTCTTTTATATCTTATAAGAATTAAATAAAATGTTTGGCAACATGTTGTTGTAGTTTTTTTTTTTTTTAATTAATAAATATGATTGTTTGAGAAAACACGATTGTAATTTTTTTATTTAAATCTAGGTTCTAAATGAATATTTTCCTCATTCTTAGAATATTTTTCCTTGTGTTTTAAATTCCACAATCTTAATTGAGACGTCCTACAAAATAATAAATAATTTCATGAAATGACGGAAAATATTTCGTTATTCCTACAGTATAAATTCAAACTATGGAAAACTTAAACTGTTAATTTTTTTCTGTTGAAATTTTACCAATTTCATAGCAGAAATAACATTATTATCGATCTTTTTCCTTAGATAAATGATATATAGGCAAGTTTGTTTATATTGGATACGGCAAGAGTTACTGTTCTTGCGCATTGCATGACGGGACGGAAAACCCTCGTTTGGGGGTATACCCCCGTTCGGGGGTTCGACTAGACTGGTTATGTAAATTATCCCACGTTTCCAACTATCGTTGATGCCCTGGCATACTCTACTAACTAGACAGTGATTCCTTAAATAATCTGCCTCAAAACTTGGCTGATTGCATCATATCCACGTGCTAATTTAAGCGATATGCATGAGCGATTTTAACAGGTATAAGGTTGTCTGCAACAGGTAAGATTTCACACTTCACTATTAAATTACATTTATTTTAACAATGAAACAATTATCAGAAAAAAGAAAGTTCAATTTTGTCTGCTGAAGCGTATACTATACGTTTGTATTTTATCTGTAACCTGAATCATTTCAATTTCTTCGAAGCTAATAAGTATTTGATCATTCTTCTTTCAGGCTATATTTCTCCTTTTTTTTTTTTTTTAAAGAAAACTTTCTTTACTTCATTCAATAGAACAACTGGTCTGCTTCTGTGCATTTTATGACAGAATTGTATATATCAAAATACAAATTGTGTGAAATCGTAAGTACGATCTAAAAATAGAAGCAAGGTGCACAGTTGACAATATATTATTTACATGCCACAAAATCATTTATTCTTACTTCCAAATTGATAGTAATTATAGTATAAACCACTCACAGCTTCAATAAAACAACTGCACTTTCGAACAAAATCCTTTCCTATTTCACCAGAATTTCCTCTGCAGTATCTAATATACGCTACCATTGAGTACCTTTGGATTTGGACGCATTGGTTTTGGCATGGGACTCATTGTTGTTAGTAAAAGGGGTCCTTTGGACCCATGATAACCATTTTCAAAATGAATCACTTTCTCTTACATGTTTTTAATTTTAATTTCAAGTGTCATTTTACAATAAATTCCATGAATGCCTGAAATTTTTACTTACGTCTTAGATTGTTTCATGATCCTAGGGTCAGGTCACCAGAATAATGTTAAATCGTATAAAGAATAACTTAAGAAATATTTGTTAAACACATATAGGATGGTGACAATTATCAAGAAATGCGAAAATGAAAGTAGAAATAAAACTTGTGACAAAAAGCGCTTCTCTTTATATACGCTTAGCGCTTTAAAAAATGCATATATTCTAAAAAATCATCTTTACTCTTTGGCATTTATTATCCAGCTTCATGCACTTTGATAGTAAAGAGAATCCTCTTCCAACATGTAAAGTTCATGTCATTTTCGTCCAACGATACATGTAGTACTAAGTGTGGCTCTGAGGGTCTAAACATGAGAAATTAAAGACAGTAGGTTCACCAGACTAACTTAAACTTCATATATATATATATATATATATATATATATATATATATATATATATATATATATATATATATATGATATTATATATATATACAACGGCTGTACAAACTTCACATTGTAGCATTTTGTACAAAGAAAAGGGATGGGGAGTTTCCAAGGAGTCATTTCTATATTTTGCCCATATCATATCTCTCCTAAAAAAGAAACGTTTGATCTATTTCTTTAAGATTCTAATCATGCAAAAGTGCGAATCGTAGCAGCTATCTCCATTATATCCATTAGATATGAAAATTGAAATTTTGTATACTTGATTGTGTTGCTTCTTAATTGCTTTCTTTTGAAAGTAAAAATATTTTTTTAAAAAAATTCTGCAGTGAAATCTTGCGCTTTTAGGTATTTAAAATTGCTTCTTCTCTACTAGTTGCAACGAAACATTTCATGGATGTTGAAGAGACAAAGTGACGGGAAAATTTTTGAAAAAAAAGAATTCTTGCAGAGTTCAAGCAATTTTTATTTTCAGTTCTTTAAAGTAGTAGGTTGGATTAAAAAAAATACCCTTAAAACAAACAAGTCACATGGCCTCAACTCACTATCTGAATCAACTTAGAGCTAGTTCTATGTAGGTTTATCCTTAATCAAACAAAGTAATTCGCAATATTTAAGAGGCAGTCCACCAGAAAACCAGGCAGCATTTATTTTTACTCCACAGGTTACATACATGTAATATCAAAAACTTTTTCATTAAGATAAAAAATTCCACTTAAAAACGGTAAAATAATGGTACATTTGTATTTTGTCCTACAGTATATTTCACTCAGAACTGTCGGTCGCTCGTCTGAAGCGGTTACCAAAAGTTCGTCATACTTCCTTGCAGGACAAATAAATCTTTGTACTTAATTATTTCCGTGCGTTTTTTCGTGCTACCATCCATTCGGAAACCGCCTTGTCGTAATCTACATTGTCTTCAGTGATGCCCACCGTTCGTAATACCTCGGTGAGATCTGGCCAATCAGCCGGATGATTCTCTTTGTGCTATAATAGGTCATCATAAAAATAATTTTGTTAACGTTTACAAATGGGAAAATATTTAATTACACGAACTCTTCGAATTTATACCATACTGAACTTATTTTTTTATTTATTCAATGAGAGAGAGAGAGAGAGAGAGAGAGAGAGAGAGAGAGAGAGAGAGAGAGATTCTCAAAACCTGAAATAAAGTATTTCCACTTTGGTCTAGAAGTACAGTGCCCCCTTGAATCCAAGAATCCCCTGCCAGATGCCTACTTTCCATTCCTAGTCTGACACCTGAAAAGCAAAGGTAATATATAATCTGTTATATTCTTCATTGAAAGACCCCCCCCCAAAAAAAAGGATTTAAACATGCCCACTTACCCTCCATTATACCACCAAAACCGTATCTTTTGGCACCGTGCCATAGAGGCAAAACAAGGGACCGGAAACGCCCACTCTTCATCTGGAAGATCTTATACAAGGAAATAGAGGGGTCTGTGTATAATTCACCGGAAACAGGAACTGTAGGGCTGCGAAGAAACTCTTCCATCTGTTCATGAGTTGAAGATCCGACAAACACAAGTCTTGTCTGGTGTTTTTCCAGTAGGTCCGCCAGGGGAAACATGGCTTGCATCTTGAATTGACTGTTCAAAGGTAACGATTTAAGTATAATTTGGATTTTCTATACTAAATACGAAACACTCCGTTTGTTACAATCAAGATTAATAAATATTAAGGACACATGATATGAATAAACAAAAAAATTGAAAGCATGTGGATTCGCAAATATTTTTGGACTTTTTTGTTGTAAATGATGCATATATGAGGCCTATCAAACACCTAAATTATTAAGAAATTGTAGACTTTCTATGATGTTCAAATGTCTTCCTTTTTGTTATCAATTTTATAAATGTATACAATTTTTTATCAATATATCGGACATATTATTGAGAAACTGAATGAAAAATGAAACTTTATGTGGTTAAACTTTTTTCATTGTACTTTTATAAATATATATACTAGTATACTGAGTCGTTATTTGCATGATTTTTGGAAAAAAAAGTTTATTTTTAAGCACCTGACTGTCCTGTCCTGAAGTTATGTAACGTCTTCTGACAAGTACGATTTTTAACAGTTCAGTTGTGGACATTGTCAATGATGGGAGAACCTTTCCTAAATATCCTTAAAAATCTTCTTATAACCAATGCATGATTTATACTACTGTAAGATTTAAAACTTTTATTTAATGCAAAATCCTATGTGAAGTATCAAACCTGTCCCTTGGGAATGTCAAAATGCCAATCAGATTTGGAAAGGGGGGGGGGGCTTGTCATAAATTCTAAACAATTCTTTCTGTACTTACTAAAAGTCAAATTTAGGTTATTTTGGGGCATAATCCACCATCCCCGTTCTTTCTTTCTATTGCCTTGATACTGCCTTTACTGGTATGAGATATTTCAATTTGCTACTTTTTTACAGTCATAACGCTTTTTTGATCAGACCTGTACTTGTGTTTACAATGTCCAACCAGCTGACCTAGAAAAAATAGGGATCTTACCAAGCAATTCAAGCAAAATTCCGGAGAAATACAATGAGGGTATACTTCATGTCTCCTGTCGGCAAAATATCGGCGCCATTTGTTACTCCTTTATTGTGTTTAATGACGGATACTTTGATCAGTGCTTCTTCAAGCGTCTCCGCCATATTCCTGGTGATTGTTTGTTATATACAGCTTCGATCGAAAAACATTGTCAAATATACGTCAATAGGTAAACGTCATTTTTCTAACAGGTGAAATAATTACTCAGAGCGATCTGTATTTGAATATTTGTTCCTTTTTTTTTTTTGGTAAGACTGCGAACTGTTTTTCTTTCTTTAAGTAAATCACAGGTACTTGTGGACAGGACCCCCCCCCCCCCTCCCCCATATTCAACCCCGGGGCTTGTTTTTTTTTTTTTTTAATTTTTATTTTTATTTTTTTATTTTTTTTTTTTTACAAATTATATTTATTGCACTTGTTCATCATGTGTACCATAGGAAAAAATCGTGAAAAACCCAAAATAATCGTTCCACACAAAAATACCCCACTATTCATTATAAGAGAGAAAGGTATGTCACTCCGGTTTGTTTACGTTGTACCCCCACTGGTCTTTCTGGGTTTAAAAACATGTATTTGTTTCATTTTAACCTAAAATGTCGGTTCACACTGTCTCTAGATATATTTCTGTCGAAAACACCATTCCCTTGAGAGGAATCCATTTTAAGAATGAAGTACGGCTAATACTAAATCCACCACCCAGAAAACAGTCTGCACCATAAGCACTACACTGCTTCCATAGAAAATAATTAAAATTGAAACATTTCCAGATTTGATTTGAAATACACTTTCAGGTCGAAGTTTGGCTCGTGGCTAATCCAACACTCAGGACACAATTTGCATCTCACCATTACACTGCAGCAGTCAATATATCCTCAAAAATTGATTTGAAATAAAACATTTCCAGATTTGATTCGAATTTGATTATCTGTCGAAGAAGAAATTCATTTTGGGGTCAAAGTTTGGCTAATATTTTCTTTTACTCTTACTATTCTCTGTTTCCAGGTCCAACTATCACTGATTTTGTGCATCTTTTAGTTCATTAGATTTTGATTCTGTCATATACTCTCTCTATCGGAGGAAAGCATGCATGCCTTTTCAACGCAAACTATAAACTGATTTTGAAGCATCGCATCCTTGTATAAATACTAGTATCCCCCAAAATCCACCTTTAACTGTCCATTCTTTAGACAGAGACCTTTTGTTATTTGCATTTGAAAACACAAGGACTATTCAACAAATTGCTCTGCATCCCAGCTTACCTGTGACTGTCCATTCTGTAAACAATGAACTTGTATGTGTGCTACCTGTCACATCTGATACACATCTGATTAAGTAGGAAAAAGGCCTCAAACCGTCCATTCTGTGAGAGAAAGAACTAATCGAGAGCCGTACTTCGATCTAAAAATGGACCCCCCATCCCACCAAATGATTTTTCTGAAATTCAGATCAAATGTGGAAATGAGTCAAAAATTCAAGCTTTGACGATATATTACGGCAGCAGTGTGAAAAGTATTGAAATAACATATATTCCAAACTCTCCATTCTGTTTGTTTTAAATGTCCATTGTTTTTTGAAAAAAAAACTATCAACTCTTTAAGTCGAATGGACGTTTTTTTCAAAAAGAAAGGATACTAACAGGTCACTTAATGGATTGTTGGGGGAGTAAGTATAACAATAAATTATAGAATGGATACTAACAGGTCACTTAATGGATACTAACAGGTCACTTAATGGATTGTTGGGGGAGTCAGTGTAACAATAAATTATAGAATGGATACTAACAGGTCACTTAATGGATACTAACAGGTCACTTAATGGATACTAACAGGTCACTTAATGAATACTAACAGGTCACTTAATGGATTGTTGGGGGAGTCAGTATAACAATAAATTATAGAATGGATACTAACAGGTCACTTAATGGATACTAACAGGTCACTTAATGGATACTAACAGGTCACTTAATGGATTGTTGGGGGAGTCAGTATAACAATAAATTATAGACTGGATACTAACAGGTCACTTAATGGATTGTTGGGGGAGTTAGTGTAACGATACATTATAGACTGGATACTAACAGGTCACTTAATGGATACGAACAGGTCACTTAATGGATTGTTGGGGGAGTCAGTATAACAATAAATTATAGAATGGATACTAACAGGTCACTTAATGGATACTAACAGGTCACTTAATGGATACTAACAGGTCATTTAATGGATACTAACAAGTCACTTAATGGATTGTTTGGGGAGTCAGTGTAACAATAAATTATAGGATGGATACTAACAGGTCACTTAATGGATACTAACAGGTCACTTAATAGATTGTTGGGGGAGTCAGTGTAACAATAAATTATAGAATGGATACTAACAGGTCACTTAATGGATTGTTGGGGGAGTTAGTGTAACAATAAATTATAGAATGGATACTAACAGGTAACTTAATGGATACTAACAGGTCACTTAATGGATTGTTGAGGGAGTCAGTGTAACAATGAATTAAAGAATGGATACTAACAGGTCACTTAATGGATTGTTGGGGGAGTTAGTGTAACAATAAATTATAGAATGGATAGTAACAGGTCACTTAATGGATACTAACAGGTCACTTAATGGATACTAACAGGTCACTTAATGGATTGTTGGGGGAGTCAGTGTAACAATAAATTATAGAATGGATACTAACAGGTAACTTAATGGATTGTTGGGGGAGTTAGTGTAACAATAAATTATAGAATGGATACTAACAGGTAACTTAATGGATAATAACAGGTCACTTAATGGATTGTTGAGGGAGTCAGTGTAACAATAAATTAAAGAATGGATACTAACAGGTCACTTAATGGATTGTTGGGGGAGTTAGTGTAACAATAAATTATAGAATGGATAGTAACAGGTCACTTAATGGATAGTAACAGGTCACTTAATGGATACTAACAGGTCACTTAATGGATTGTTGGGGGAGTCAGTGTAACAATAAATTATAGAATGGATACTAACAGGTCACTAAATGGATACTAACAGGTCACTTAATGGATTGTTGGGGGAGTTAGTATAACAATAAATTATAGAATGGATATTAACGGTCACTAAATGGATTGTTGGGGGAGTCAGTGTAACAATAAATTATAGAATGGATACTAACAGGTCACTTAATGGATTGTTAGGGGAGTCAGTATAACAATAAATTATAGAATGGATACTGACAGGTCACTTAATGGATTGTTGGGGGAGTCAGTGTGACAATAAATTATAGAATGGATACTAACAGGTCACTTAATGGATACTAACAGGTCACTTAATTGATACTAACAGGTCACTTAATCGATTGTTGGGGGAGTTAGTGTAACAATAAATTTTATTATACCTCTATTAAGAATACTCAAATTTGATTGGCTTGTTAGAAGGCTTTTAAACTCAATAATGACTCCAAAAAGTACCGTTTACAACATTAATGACCTAGGAATCATTGCACGTGGGGTATATTGACCGGTCAATAAAATTAATGACCGCTAAAAATGACCCGTTAATCCAAATTCCATTCAAATTAAAAAAAATATGCATACAGTAATGATTGTACATTACAAAAATTGCCGTTATAAAAATATGTATAGTATTTTTAGGATACGGAACACGATTGGCCTTTAGATGCGTCATAACATTTATCGTTTTCATTGAAATTAACTTTCGTTACAATACAATGTCAAATTCAACGAACACAGACTCGGCTCTCTTGTACAGTAAAAGTCTGCACCAGATTGTCATTGTAGTCGGGAATGGTATCTGTGAATTTATATAAAAATGCAATGTTACTGACAATCACAGAGTGTTTAAATAAATCGGCGGTGCAAAAACTTACAATACTAGCAGCCGAAAATTAAACAACTTCAATAGCGAATCCCGATCCCGATGGAACACTGATAACAGTTCGTAGGTCTTATACATGTAATTGATTATTTTAGTAATTAAGCTTACAAAAATTGCCTTAACTTATATCGGTATAATAAAACAATTGATTACCCCTTATGAGTTCAACATGGTAAAATAAGGACCCTCGACCTGGCCCACTCGCTGACCTGACCTGACCTCGGCCGCTAAGCGGCCTCGGTCAGGTCAGGTCACCTCGTGGGCCAGGTCTCGGGTCCTTATTTTACCATGTTGACCGCATAAGGGGTAATTAATTGTATAATAGAATGGATACTAACAGGTCACTTAAAGGATACTAACAGGTCACTTAATGGATTGTTGGGGGAGTCAGTGTAACAATAAATTATAGAATGGATACTAACAGGTCACTTAATGGATACTAACAGGTCACTTAATGGATTGTTGGGGGAGTTAGTGTAACAATAAATTATAGAAAGGATACTAACAGGTCACTTAATGGATTGTTGGGGGAGTCAGTGTAACAATAAATTATAGAATGGATACTAACAGGTCACTTAATGGATACTAACAGGTCACTTAATGGATTGTTGGGGGAGTCAGTATATCAATAAATTATAGAATGGATACTAACAGGTCACTTAATGCATTGTTGGGGGAGTCAGTGTAACAATAAATTATAGAAGGGATACTAACAGGTCACTTAATGGATTGTTGGGGGAGTCAGTGTAACAAGAAATTATAGAATGAATAGTAACAGGTCACTTAATGGATACTAACAGGTCACTTAATGGATACTAACAGGTCACTTAATGGATTGTTGGGAGAGTCAGTGTAACAATAAATTATAGAATGGATACTAACAGGTCACTTAATGGATACTAACAGGTCACTAAATAGATTGTTGGGGAAGTCAGTATAACAATAAATTATAGAATGGATACTAACAGGTCACTTAATGGATACTAACAGGTCACTTAATGGATTGTTGGGGGAGTCAGTATAACAATAAATTATAGAATGGATACTAACAGGTCACTTAATGGATTGTTGGGGGAGTCAATGTAACAATAAATTATAGAATGGATACTAACAGGTCACTTAATGGATTGTTGAGGGAGTCAGTGTAACAATAAATTATAGAATGGATACTAACAGGTCACTTAATGGATACTAACAGGTCACTTAATGGATTGTTGGGGGAGTCAGTATAACAATAAATTATAGAATGGACAACATAAACAAAAGGTTTATGTCACAATCATGTTTTAATTTTAAGTAAAGAAAAAAAGGTCAATTTTGGAATTGATTTCAGCATATCTTGGGAAGTATACCGAATTTCAGAATGAACTTTTGTAGTAATGTAGATTGTTTAAATATAAATAGACATGAATAGAAATTAAATTTCAAATCATTAGATTAATTAGTATTTCATTTGCGAATTCGGGTACCCTATCTGAGAAGTTCCACACCTTTATTAATTTTTTTTATATACCCACCATTTTACCAGTGGGATTGAAGCGATATAAAGGGCCTGCGGTTCTGGTCTCAAGATTTTTGTTTTCTGGAAAATGACCATTGCAATAATATGTCTAAACTTTTACATACTTCGCTCTTTAAATAAAAAAAAAATAAAAAAAAAAATTTTAAAGATATTACAAATAGGATTGAACTCTGTTTATAACGCAAACAATTTCATTACAGATAGTTAGTTGAAAAAGATAAAATGATGAAAATATTTCTTTAAATTTTATCTTATAATTTATATTAATGGAAAAAAATAACAATGCGATTATTACCAAGGAATTAAGTCCCATTCTGGTATGATTTTTTAATTACGAAATGCCAACATTACTCATGTATGGTCGATAAAAAGGACAATAAATCAAGTGATTGACGGTTATTTTTGACAGTGATGTAGCTTAATCGTGATAAGAGAAGAACAAGATGTAGCAGGTAGCCAAATCAAGATGTTTTCTCCAGGCCAGTCAATGAGGTTATTGACCAATTCGCCGACAGCACAGATTAAACAACTTTGATTATTAGAAATTGAATTAAGTTGGAGGCATGATGATTTTTTCACATGAGAGTGACGTGATTCGAGGGATGGATAATGAGTCTCGATTCTGTAGACTATTTTCACGCCTCTATTGTGACTAAAAGAGAATCCTTTTGAAAACCAATGGTTTTAATTCAAATGTTTCCCTTCTTGAATTTCTCTCGTTTCATTTCCTAGGCGCTTTTAATTTCCGGTATAGGTCGGACAAGATCGTGATGAGATAACAGTAGATCAGAACAGGAAGTGACAGATATTACCAGCGAATTTCATTTACAATCCAGTGCTTTTGTACAAAAGAGAATTCTGCTTACAAATAAGAAAATCACAGCAATGGGATCCTCAATGACTGATCAACTTCCGGGAACTAATCCCTCCGAAAGGAAAAGAAGTTTTTTTATTCGAGCTCAAAAAAAGACACTTTCTCTTTTAATATCAGGACTAAATATACATACATTCACAAAATTGCACAGATAAACACAAAAGCCTTAATAAAATTATAATCTTAAAAAAAAAATAGCACCAAGTTGAATTGAATGATGGATCGATGAAAACACAAGGTCACCGGTGGTGGTTAGATAGAGCGGATACTAGTTCAGTATTTGGCAACTGGCGGAAAACAGGAATGGGAGGTCACCTACAAATAGTAGAAAAAGGTGGATTCATTAGAACAACTTTCTTTCATGCACAATGCAAACACCAAAAGTTTCGATTAATGATCTGGAATAAGCATAGTCAGCTATGATGATAAGCTCTCCTTCTTACAAGTGTAAGAAATCATCGTTTTAAAGATGGAGAACAAGGCGAGAGAGATGCCTAGAGTGCGACAAACATGAAGGTGAAAAATTACATCTCTATTATTACAAAATTTTCTTTGGTATTTCATCTAAAAGAAAGTGTACACTTTCTGTAAAATCTCCATAATTTGCAAAAATCTCACAAAGTTGAAATAATTTTCCTATGAAATAGCATACACACACTAAAGAGGGCATATTTTTCGATGGATGTCGCAGGTAGGCCGATTGGTCGCCACACAGAAAGGATTACAAGGACTAAGTTCTTTGAATTAATCACATTTTATTGACTTAATACATAGTTATTTAAAAATTCGGAATGCTTCGCTGTTTGGATTAAATGGCTTCCTGGACCAAATGGAATCTCAGAAGAGATGTGAATATCTGGTCAATTATACTTATCTTTATGAAGAATAATACATGTATATCCAAGCAAGTGAAGTCCGTCTGCTCTACTCGATTGCTACGCCCAAACTGAATTCAAAAACGCACGGGATTTAAGAACATTGGCAAGGTTCCTGATAATTGTATAGAATTTTTCAAGAACTTTTGAGTAGGTTTAAATGTACTAAACAGGTTATTTTCTGGATCGTTTTACCTACCAATCCAACATTCTTTTTTTTTTTTTTTTTTTTTTTTTTTTTAGATTTTGTCAAATTAGTGTTTTTACAATTCTTAATGCATTTCCTATGAAAAATGTTGATAAAAGGGACCTACACAATTTTTCACCATGACATTTCTTCAAAACCCTTTTATTTCATACAGTTTTTGTATCATGTACATTATTGTATCCTCATTTCCTATGACTTCTAGATATTTTGGCTGAAAATGTATATATAGAAACAAGACATGGCTATACCGGCACCGATCATCATTTTTAAGTTGCGTCCCTTAACAGCTAAAATTGGTCAAGAGACTGGTTGATTGATTTTATCATGAAATATATGGAGATAACGAACAGTATTCAACCTCAAAAGTCCATTAACCAATACAAAATAGGAGCAGAGCAAACACGGACCTCCAAAACATCAGAGGTGGTATCAGGTGCCATGGAGGAGTGAGCATCCCCTGTCAACCGGTCACACCCGCCGTGTGCTTCTTGTCATGATCGGGAAATAACGTGAAAATCCATCGACAATTCAGTGTGTAAATAATGGACTAACAATTAGTGTGAAAAACGTCAGTCAGCATTTGACTCAATGATAAATTGTATTTGCTGACAAGGTCATTGATTGAATTTGGTTGAAACACATTGTCATGGATTTATTTTAACTTTTATCCGTAGTTACTAGATGCTGATTCCTTCACACGACCTAAGAGCCTGTTCTCAGTCGGCATGGTCGAATACCTTTCAGCATATGTCACATCTTCGCCCTTCCCAGCATGCTGAGCATAACTATGGTAAATGACGACCTGTTGGCTCTTTGTCCCTGAATACAATGTACAACAATGCCATTACTATTTTTCTTTCTTTCTATATAGATGATTCTACCCGTTGAAGGAAGTACATGTGCTTCTGTTTATACCTCTGTAACATACGGTTTATTTGTTTTCACCGCTTAGAGAATTCTACACGGGAGATCAGTCTCAATCACTAGTTTATAAGTGAAAAATCCCATGTATTAAACCTTTTTTTCACCGGAAAACCCTGACTTGCCAATGTCCTTAAACCCGCCAAGTAAATGCTAGTGAACAAATAAAGTGTTATGGAACACAGTAATAATAGCGAAAAATTGTATGTTAAAATATATGGAACCATGTTTGGACGTTAATTGTGACAGTGGTCTTCGCTCCATATTTTTGAAAGTTTTCCTCAAATTAAAGTTTACATAAAAATATAAGTTTTTTGTTTAACAAAACATGGAGCAAAGACCCAGTGTACCTTAAAAATACACTTCTGTAACACAACATTCGCATCTTTCCAAGAAATACTCCAAGTCCATTTAGTCAAGGGTCATATCACAAACATGATTTAAATGCAATCATTCATCAGGAGCTGTATAGCGTAGTGGTTAGCGTGTTAGTCTCAAAGGAAAATGATACTCAAGATTTTAATTGCTAGGGTTTGAACCCCACGAATACCGCATTATTTTTTTAATGACAGAATTATTTTACCGAGAAATTTTTTCTCAGAAAAAGTTTTGTTTATCATAATTTCATGATTTTCAATAATGAGACCTTTACATTAAATATCAAATTAACAAACTGAAAATAATTTTTATATATCCGAAGCTGTAGGCATTCTGCACGCCTTGTTCACCCATCTCCTTTATAGTTGCACATCCAGATCTCTTAAGGATATCCGCTCCTTAGCCAGGAAGGATAACTCTTGAAATTATCATTTAATAAGAAAAGTCTCCAAATTAAGCTTGAAATTGAAATCTTTTCGAGCAACCATTTTCATTTCATGCATCTCAAAAGGATTCAAGGTTCTCTGAAGTCTTAGAAACGGTCTTGTAAGAAGATGACATTTGTACCCTATAAAAGTACAAAAATAAATACATATGTACATTTTTAGAGGAATTGAATTTCCTTTAATCTAGCCATAGTTACCAATATTTATTAGTATGACATGAAATTAGAAGTGATCAGTGATGTCTTACAATGGTAGTACAAAGGTTTTACCTTATGTATTATATAACAATTGAAGTAGATAGAAGAACTAGATACAGTAACATAAGTATAAAAACATGCAATTTTCTGCAAATGCCTATTTACCTATAATTTTTTATCCTTAAACATATTTGTTGATCAATTTTTGATTAGAAAATGCATAGCATGTGCATTTATTCGCATTTCCTGAAAATATATTTGAGATTTGAGAATGTTCCCTATATAAATATGATTAACTATGATGATGAACTTCGAAGAAATACCATGGGTAAATACACATACTTTTAAGAATTCAGAGACATTTTTGTGTGCATTTTCGATTACCCAACTCCTGATTTTTTAGAACCTGAGGATCGGGCTACCTTAAGTTGAAAGTGGAATATAACAGTGTGCTTCATAAATTTGTATGTGTACCCCCGATTATCATTTATAAAGTTTTATTTAAATGTATATTATATATATTAATAAATCCTTAATGCATGGTATCCATGTAATCCATTAATTCTGAAACCAAATAATAACGTTACCTAAGGAGACTTGTGTTGGGCAGTTGGATGGTCTTTCTGATTGAGGTAGAATTGGTCTAAATTTCGACTGTTTCATTGCTTTATAACTTTCTTATTCACTGAAATAAAGAAACAAACCAATATCGTTAATAATCAAAGGTACAAATTTCTCTACATAAGAAACATGCCAATATCTCAAATAAAGAAACATGCCAATATATCTAATAAAGAAACATTTCAAGGGCATGTCAAGGTTTTATCACTGAGAAAATCATTCAAAAATAAATCAATGTCTTCTGAAGAAGTCATACAGAAAACATGTCCAGGTCATATAGACTAGTTCAGGAATCCACACAGATAACATGTCAAGGTCATATAGCTGAAGAGGTCATACTGAAGACATGTCAAGGATCTATCACTGAGGAAGTCATACAGATAACAGGTCAAGGTCATATAGCTGAGAGTCATACAGAAAACATATCAAGGTCTTATATCTGAGGAAGTCATACAGATAACATGTCAAGGTCATATAGCTGAGAGTCATACAGATAACATGTCAAGGTCATATAGCTGAGAGTCATACAGAAAACATAATCAAGGTCTTACATCTGAGGAAGACATACAGAAGACGTTTTGAGGTTTAATTTGAACATATTTTATTGTCCTTAAACTTTACAACTGGGACTGGGCAAAAGTTCTGAAAACTTAAAAGACCCTTTCCCTACAAGTGAATTTTATCAAACATATTTATTCATATGGGTCTCAGCTTAAAATGATTATAAACACAGAAAAAACATAATAATCAGAGGATCTTATTTGTGAGGAAGAAATATAGAAGATCTTTGACTTACCCTTGTACCGAACCTCTCTCCTGATTGGACATTTAGTATTCTGAAAAGTGATAAAAAGACTTAGCATAATTTTAACTTATAGGAGTCAATCTCAACTAGAGTTCCGAGAATTCGAACTCCCTAAAAATGGTTTTCACCTTTTCAGTATTCCTTTTCAATACTTAAGAGTTACCTAATGTTTAATCACTAAACAGAAATATTGCTTTTTGTAATATTCTTTTTCAATACCTAAAAGTTAATTATTTGTTTAATACCTAACATGAATATTGCTGAAAATACGCAATAGTTTAATTTTTGAAATCAGCCAATCGTCGTCCTCCATCTTTGGTATTCTTTTTATCCAAGAAACTTTCTTAATGAGTTTACATGAAATGTGATGGGGAGAGAGAGGAGATTGGACAACACAGTCTATTGCAGTTTAATTAGTTATTACACGCATCCATCTTGTGTTTTATTAAACAATGAAACCGATTCTGAATTTTGTTTCGTTCAGTTTCGGTAAGGTTTGTATACTAGAATAATTTTCCTGAAGTAGCAAGATAGTTTATACCTGCTGTATCACCCATTGCCCGATATTTGTTTTATACATCATTTTTCAACATTAAAAAAAATATTTGCAATTATAAAAAATAATGGGACGGGAGTACTTGAGGTACACCTCACTAATCCCTCTAGGCTTGGGTATTTAAAAGTTAGCTTCAGCCACAAATACACGGAGGAAACTTTTCTTTTCCTGAGATAAAATTCTTTATTAAAACGAAATCGTTACAAAAATAGGTTTGGTTTTTAAAAAAATGTCACAAGGCTCATTTCCAAACATGATTTAAAACTTCTTTCAGTTTTGATTTTCTATAGAAAAACCATTGCTTCGGATAATATACAAGTGGGTTATCTGCCGATTTCTAATATGCTCAGGTTAAATTATGCAAACCAACTATATTGTGTTTTTTTCCTCTAGTACAAAACCGTGTGATTATAGAAGTTTATTACTTGACGATTGTTTATCTGCGAGTCGATAGCTTATCGTACATTTTCTAAACACCAATTTATATTGATGTTTCTTGGTAAAAGCGGCGATGTTCCCTTACATCAAAGTTATCTGTCATCTCCCGAAAGATGAAATAAACAGTTTAAGGTTTAAATTAAAGGGAGACAAATATCTGGCCGGCCAATACAGCGACAGTACTTCTGGTTGAAGATGAAACGCAAATTGTCTCGGGACAGGGTAATTACAGTCCCCGCAGATGAAAGTCTTCGATCCAAGCAAACCATAGCGTGACCACTCTGTTTAATTAATAACTGCAAATAAAAAATGGCTAAAAGTTGCACTTTCTGTGTTTTTAAGAACAATCAATGTTGAAGCTAGCTGCCGAGAATCTTGTTGTTTATGCATGGCATAATGTACTCGTGCGATAGGGACATCCGAATCAAAATTAAGTGCTTACAAAATATACCGATATTGCTTTGCATTTTAAAATCAAATGATTATAATCAAAATTTGTTAACAACATCTATTATTTGAATTGCCTTAATGACCAGAAACAAGATTTTCTTCTCCAAGACACACAGATTTCCTGAGATTATAAAGTTAATCACCTTTATGGCATCTCAAATGTAGTTTAATCCTAAACAGTAATCGCGTGAAAAAAAATTCACACCAGTTAAGCATCAGATAGTCAATTTACATACTCTTTTGAATAAATTAGAAACATTATTATCTGATGATGAATATTTTACTGTAATTGCATAATATTACATTATATCCATAGATGTCAAAGTGGAATTTTTATTGTATTCATAAATTTATATATTAATCATTTTTCAGCTATGGTTCTCTCTGACCCTCTCTGACTGTAATGATTTGATTTACTGTCGCCATATTGTGGGTCTGCGTATCAACATATTTCATCAGTGACTTTGTATCGTTACGTATTATCCGTTTTTTGATGCTACTTGTCACGTGCTTGTTCCCCGTTCTGATAAATGTTTTTCCTGTTGACAGTGATACTGTGCCGGTACAGAGGTTAATGCCTTCTATATCATTAAAATCCATTACTCGTAATATCATCATTTTTATTAAATAGCTCCAATATTCTAAACTTAATTGTGATCACAAAAAGTGTTCAACAGCGCTGGGTCTGCGTGATTATTCACCGGAAGCAGATGGAAAACAATTGAAAATAAGAACACCTTCTTTAACAAACATTTTATTAACTAACAATCTGACACCTTTCGTTGTTTTCAATGCACTCTTTGTTTACGATACCGCAGATACATTGTACACTTTATTTACGATACCGCGGGTACAATGTACACTTTGTTTACGATACTGCGGGTACAATGCACACTTTGTTTACGATACCTCGGGTACAATGTACACTGTTTACGATACTGCGGGTACAATGTACACTTTGTTTACAATATCTCGGGTACAATGTACACTTTGTTTACGATACTGTGGGTACAATGTACACTCTGTTTACGATACCGCGGGAACATTGTACACTTTGTTTACGATATTGCAGGTACAATGTACACTTTGTTTATGATATTGCGGGTACAATGTACACTTTGATTACGATACTGCGGGTCAAGTTCAATTTATTCACCCAAACCAAAATATTGGTACATGGGGTACAATGTACACTTTGTTTACGATACCGCGGGTACATTGTACACTTTGTTTATGATATTGCGGGTACAATGTACACTTTGATTACGATACTGCGGGTCAAGTTCAATTTATTCACCCAAACCAAAATATTGGTACATGGGGTACAATGTACACTTTGTTTACAATACCGCGGGTACAATGTACTTAAACTAATTCGGTGTATCCAGCGTTGGGGGCAAACAGAATTTACAAATATTTAAATCACAAGAACATAACTACTAGCATCACATAAACTTCTTTGAAAGACTTGCATCTTTTGATCATTATTTTCAACAGCAGGTTAAAATTCAGTGACATTTTATCTGGCGAGTTTGCCTACTACCACACAGCGCTTTCAGTTTCCCTGCGGTAAGATTTCAATCATCTTCTATGCCAAAAATGACCTTTATTACTTCTATTAGTCTCCACTGGAATTCTAATCTGACCTTTAGAATATGATAAAAATGATGCATGTTGTTAAAACGTAAGATACTCTTAGGCAGCCTTGACACAAAGAAGATGAAAGGATAGATGTAATTATTTAAAGACATCTGCAAATAGTATAGGAGCAACATAACTCGCGGTGCAAGGTTTTTCTACAATCGCACTCTCACTGAATTCGCAAATTCTAGGAAGAGTGAATAAATTATTTATGAAAAAGTCATAAAAAAGATTTTTGTATACAAACTTTATATTTGCGCGAATTAATTAACTTTTCTCTCTTATATGCAGAGATATTTTCAATAAAGATTTAAAACAGTAACGATGTCAAGGGAATTCAAATAGGAAAACTGAATTTTTAGGTCACCTGAGTCACTCAGGTGACCTATTGCTATCCGTTTTCGTCCGTCGGCGTGCGTCGTGCGTTAACATTTGAACATTTTCAGCTTCTTCTCTGAAACCGCTCAACCAATTTCAACCAAATTTGGCATATAACATCTATGGGTGAAGGGGGACAAAATTTGTGAATTTCATGGTCCCTGCTCCCCTGGGGCCTGAGGGGTGGGGCAAAAACCACTAAAATTAATGCAATCTTTAAAAATCTTCTTCTTTACTCCTGGACATCAAGCAGTCAAACTGTTAGCATGATTGTAATAAGCATTGAGCCCTCTACCAAAATTGTGAAATTCATGGCCCCAGGGTAAGGGGTTCTGGGGCTAGGGTGGGGCTATATAGATCATATAGTAAAAGTGCATTATTTCTTCAAAAATCTTCTTCTCTGCTCCTGGGTATAAAATAAACTAACTAAGTACACAGTTATGATAAGCAAGAATGCCCCTTCCAAAATTGTGAATTTCATGGCCCCTGGGTCAGGGGTTCTGGTGAAAGGGGGGGGGGGCTCTATTGATTATATAGTGAAAATGCATTATTTCTTTGAAAATCTTCTTCTCTGCTTATGGGTATGAAATAAACTAACTAAGTACATAGTTATGATGAGCAAGAGTGCCTCTTCAGAAATTTTGAATTTCATTGCCCCTGGGTCAGGGGTTTTGGTGAAGGGGGGGGGGGTGGGTTATTGATTATATAGTGAAAATGCATTATTTCTTTGAATATCTTCTTCTCTGCTTATGGGTATTAAAGAAATTAACTAAAAACATAGTTATGATGAGCAAGAGTGCCTCTTCAGAAATTGTGAATTTCATGGCCCCTGAATCAGGGGTTCTGCTGTTAGGGTGGGGCTCTATTGATTATATAGTGAAAATGCATTAATTCATTGAAAATCTTCTTCTCTGCTCCTGGATATTAAATAAACTAATTAAGTACATAGTTAGGATGAGCAAGAGTGCCTCTTCCAAAATTGTGAATTTCATGGCCCCTGGGTCAGGGGTTCTGGTGTTAGGGCGGGACTCTATTGATTATATAGTGAAAATGCATTAATCCTTTGAAAATCTTCTTCTCTGCTCCTGGGTATTAAGTTCAGTAACTAAGTACATAGTTATGATGAGCAAGAGTGCCTCTTCAGAAATTGTGAATTTCATGGCCCCTGGGTCAGGGGTTCTGGTGTTAGGGTGGGGCTCTATTGATTATATAGTGAAAATGCATTAATTCTTTGAAAATCTTTTTCTCTACTCCTGGGTATTATTGAAACACATTAAATACATAGTTATGATAATCAAGGATGCCTCTTTCAAAATTGTGAAATTCGTGGCCCCTGGATCAGGGGTTCTGGTGTTAGGGCGGGGCTCTATTGATTATGAAGTGAAAATGTTTTAATTCTTTAAAAATCATTTTCTCAGCACCTGGGTATTATTTAAACAAACTAAGTACATTGTTATGATAAGCAAGGATGCCTCTTCCAAAATTGTGAAATTCATGGCCCCGGGGACAGGAGTTTTGGTGCTAGGGCGGGGCTATATAGATCCTATAGTGAAGGTGAATTATTTCTT